TCTTTTAATTTACCCGCATTTTAACTATCAATTGAAAAGTATTTTCTTTTCTATAGTTTTATTAGCAAAGCAATGCATTCGCTGTATAATCAACCCTATAAGAAAGAAACCTTAAGTAAACTCGGAACGTTTAATTGAATTTTAATTAATTTCATATCTGTTCAACTAAAATCAGTAATAACTACAAAATTATTATTCACAGCATCTTACATAAATCGTAAAAACGCAACAATGAGATAGGGAAATACATTTAATTGTCGATTCTTTTGTCACCGTCGATGAAATACAGGTGGCAGTGGCAGACGACAATTAATTCACGCACACTTCCAGCGGCAACGCCAAGGTCGGTCTGTGATAGGGCCCGTATAGTTCAACGATCGTACTAGCATTGACTATATATAGTCAATGGTACTAGCTTTTGATAACGTATCAATTACAACCACATCTTCCTACGACTCACGCAATAAACCTCTGCAAAAAAACTAGACCGCACAAATTCATCTGCTATTAACAATTTAATTTTATCAGTCCATTATCAATACTTTTGAATTATTTCATTTTAAGTATGCGTGTTAAAGCGGAAAATGAACTCAAGATGAATATTGAGTCGTGGAGGAAACGTAGGTACTGTTTAGATTTATTGTACTTATGGAATGGCAGAAGATAACGTTATAGAGGGCGTGTTGTTGGGTACTTATTGATTCATGCAGTTTAACTTACTTGAAAATTGTTTAAACTAAAAAGATCTTGATCAGTAACAAAGCTGCCGTAAGCTTGATCAACACAGAGCATGCATCTGGATTGCAATTTTATATTATGAGAAGTGTACTAGTAATATTCTAAGAAAATAGCTTATGCGCAAGCGTACTCCAAAAACTAGTTCACATGCATAAGGTCCAAATTTTCCTAAACATACGGTTCAACACATCAACAGCACAGTAATTAGAAGAAACAATTAAGTGACTATAATCACTTATCGCCGGACTCTAGCCCAAGATAGTGAGGTCACAAATGATAACAAACTGTGGTCGCAGATATCACGTCACTCGGTCCTAACAACAGCCGAGGAGTCTGCTTGTACTGTAGTGTTATTGTGGATATGCTGTGGTAACCGAACTGACAATTTCTCAAACAACTCTTAATTTCCAATAAACGCTTATATCCTTATATCAGTTTTCGATTTTCCTTTCAAGGGTGGTAAACTGTAGCCGACAGCCATGGCAAGATTGTACATTCGAGTGTGTTAAAGATCTATATTCCATGTTAGGTTGAGTTTTAATAAATCGGTAAAACTCGCAACCGTTCATGATGCCATCACACAACGTCCTGTAGAACTTTGTAATATTTACTGGAGTACTTCTATCTCCTGTACTGTCCTGGAGTACTGCTGTCAACTGTATTGTCCTGAAGTACAGCTGCCCTCTGTGCTGTCCTGGAAACTGCTGTCTCCTGTGTTGTCATTCTGTCCTCTGTGCTGTCCTGGAATACTACTGTCTCCTGTATTGTCCTGAAGTACAACTGTCTTATGTGCTGTCCTGAATACCTGCTGTCTCCTGTACTGTCTCCAATATTGTCCAGGAGTACTGCTGTCTTCTATATTGTCCAGAGGAGTGCTGCTGCTCCTGTGCTGTCCAAGAGTACTGCTGTCTCCTATTTAGTCCTGAAGTACAGCCACATCCTGTATTGTCCAGGAATGATTCTGCTCCTATACTGTCCTAGAGAACTGATCTCTCCACTGCTGTGCTAGAGTACTGCTGCCGTCTTCTGTGCTGTCCTGCAGTACTGCTGTCTTCTATGCTGCCATATGTTGTCATGGGGTACTGCTCTCTTCTGTTTTACTGCAGGGCAGTACCCACGTCTCTGTTATACGTTGTCCCGTAGTACAGCTGTGATGTTGTCTACCGTTGTGTAGTATCCAGGGTCAAGTAGGCGAGGTCCAAGGACACCTACAGCCTCCTACTCTGCAGTAACGGCATCTACACTACACTGAGTGAATTGGCGTTGGAATAGCTATCAAAACAATCTTATGCACGCGCCTCAACACTGGGCAATAAAAGTGTTTGAATTATACTTTAGATAAAGAAGATTTTGGTTTGTTTTCGATGTGTGAGTGCTCTTAACTGACATTTTGTTGAAGGAAATTAGAGTGAAAAATCTTTCACAAATCACAAATATTGTATTAGTTAATAATAATCATGTAGTTGCTATATACTTTGTTGGAATTAGCTTAAATATCAAACAAAATGTACCCTACCTGAATCAGTGTTGACTCTGTAAACATATAAAACAGCACCTTAAACATGGATTAAAAATTCTCCCTCACGGATTTATGATTTTTTTATCTTTGTGGATTATAGTACGAGTATGAACAGACTTCATCCTTTATGTACTTTCATAAATTATTATTCGCTTAGGCCTACAATTTTGCTATTTGTATGGATACTGAAAACAGTCGTAATGTACACGGTTTTATCATGAATATAGGTGCAATGGAGTTTCTTTTTATTAACGGGCGGATAGGTTTTCAGCTTTAATACATTTTTTTTTAACATTTACCTTTCCCTAAAATATAAAAATTGCTATTTTGAATACATGTCGTTATTGCCCCTATCGAATCATAACATTATGATTCTAATATATCATTCCGTTAAAAAATAAATTAAAAATTGGTGTTTCTAATCACCCCCCAAAGAGGGATGGAAGGAAACCGTATTCTAAATGCACATTTGTTTATATTCAAACTTAATGGGTGTTAGTAGAAACAATAAAATATGTTAATTTCATAAAATTTTTTTTATAAAAACAGTGTTTATAAAAGAAAATGTTTACAAAAAAGCTTAAAGGTAAAAAAATAAATATCAAGAAATCAAATGGGGTATAACATTCTTTTATTAAAAACCATTATTTTAGTACAGAGTATAATCCAACAAATTGTATTTGTGAACTCTAGCCTAGCACTGGCGGACATGGTTTCTGGAGAATATCACCTCTGGGCACAAAAGAATCCTCTTCAGTTACCGTAAACCTGTTTGTTTGAGGGGCTCGTTTTAAAATGATGCCTACAGAGTCATCTTCTTCTATGTAACTTACTTTACAGATATAGCACCGGTAGGGGAGTACTACTGTCATCATTCAGTCTTCAAAACCAAATTAATCGAACCAGCCAGAATTTGTTCAATTATATCTGGTACTTTTTGATCCCCCCTCTGTCTAGCTTTCATACAAATGTAGAGCCTTACACACAGCATAGGGCGGTAGTATCATGCCATCTGCTGCTGCAAACGTAACCAAAGTTCTTGACGAATTTAATTATTTTTCAGGATATTTTCTTACCCACATGTGACCTTAAGTATCCCAGAGTCATCGGTGACGTTAGTTTCATCACAGTTGACCAAGTTTGAGGAAGGGATATTTTTTTATTCATTAGATAATTCATCAAGGTAGTTGGTTTTTGTTTCAGGTGCTACATCCGCTCTTGACCATTTAATATTCTGGCATAGGCCTATTCTCACAGCCCGACCAGGTAGATTATCTTTAAATCGCTTTACTTCTTTTCCCCTTTTATCTAAATAGTCTTTTTCGAAAGTCCGAGAGTTGTTGAGTGGATTGGATAGCCCTGCCACTACATATTTTCAGGCTTTCAACAAACATCATTCTCTTCCTCTGCAGATAAAGATTTTTGTCCACCGGGTTTCTTAAGCTAGAACCTTTTTTCAAGTGCCTGTAAATAATACCATAAGAATGTATAGGCCTACCATGTGTTTTAGCAGCTTTAGCTTTACAAAGGTTAATTCCGTTTTCTATGTCAGACACGTTGTGCTTCTTATAGCCCCCTCCAGCCACAGGTTTACATTTCCAAGGAATAACACCTGAAAAAACATAGCTATGTCAGGTAAACACATCAGGCAACTTAATAAGACAAGTATTTTGAATGGTATTTATACGATTACATATCCACTTACCAGAAACGTTAGAAGTTGTAAAATCAAGTAGACAGAAATAACAAATGAGAATAAGTGAGGAACCAGTGATGCCAACAGAATCAAACTGAATTCCCTAGAACACTGTCAATGCAATTTAAAAAATAGTTCAATAAAATAACACATAATTACATATATACAGTGTGGTACAAGTATAAAGTTTTGTTTCTATTCACCCTGTTTTATGTGGTTGCATTGATTTCAAAATTATGACGACAAATAGAACGATGCAACCTCTGAAATTTAGAGCCAAAGAGCACATCTTGTAAATGCTGTCCTAAAACGAGGCAGGAAAACTAAGTCTGCATTCTGCTCACTCAAGCGTACATGGACATGAAAAACACCGAGCTTCGTAATTTATGATAGGCTAGATTAGATTGATATGATGGCATACAGGGTGTTTATTTTAAAGCAATCCTATTTATAGTACTGAAACCCTCCTGAAAAACACAAAGAAATCCACTACAGCTCTTTAAGGTGTTTGCTAGCTGAATGCATCCAAGATAACGCAGTGTAATTATAAGTAACTATGTAACGCAATACATAAAACAAACAAGTCAAAATAACTGCACACAAGTCTCAATACTGTATTAAGCTGTCTTAGAAAGATGTAAATGATCGCTTTAGTGGCCTGCGCTCATTATCAGTATGGATATCTACCAACTATACTGAAAAATGCATTTTGTGATTGATGATTATGAGTATACTATATATTAAACTTTTCGATGGCGGTAAAACATTTTGCATCTACGTCGCTTACAACTTCACACTGCAGTTTTCTGGCAGAAAAATGTGTTTTTAAACATTCTACGTTAAAACTGTTAACAGGGAGGACTTTTCCTCTACCCATGAAACAAGACACTGGTTTGCCCCTGAAAAGAAACTGCACAGATAAAAATGAGAAAAATAAACAAGTACTGCGGAGTACTCCCTCCCCTCATGTTGTTATCCTTCATTACACCGTAAAACTACTTTGACAATAATTAATTGCAAACATTCCAGGATAAAACAATAAACAGCTGATTGTGATTTTATTTATTAAAAACGTGCAACAATGTTTACATGTTCTTGAAGTCCCCGGTGCCATCTAACATGAGAATGTTTGGATTTTCCTTCTCGAACTCGGTGGGTTCTCGTTCTCGCTCATCTTTACCCCACTCTCCGAGCGTCTTCATCACATCAGGCTGTTTTTTTCTTTCCTCCTCCTCTTTCTATACACCACATAGAAGTAATGAGTAATGAAGATGATTGAAATATCCAGTAAAAATAGCTTGATACTATTTACTTTATCAAAATATTGAACTGCAAGAAAGGGATTTGTAGGTAGGTTAGTGACTTATGGTAATTAAAAGATTAGACCTAAATACTTCACACAATGCTAAAATTAGTTAACACTTTTTAGGCCCAAAATCCCACTAGATCCTCAACCTAAGCAGCACTAGTAGCTAAACGGACTGACCGCAGTCGCCATGTCGGGCAACTTAGTCGGTTGACCAGCAAACTCAGCCGGCTGGGAAATATTCCGTCCCCTCACACCCGCAACGAACTATACTCTCTGTCCAGTGTTGGGATTCAATTAAATATCTTCTTTTTTTAGATCCCTTTAAAAATTTATTCATCCATGTTGTGTGATATACATAACATTAATTAGTGGAATTTTTGTACGTTTATGATTAAAATCTATCCAACCATTGAAATTTTATATACTTGAGTTAAAGAAAATTGTACAATATAGACCTACTAATTAAAGTAATCACACATATTTCTCTCATGCAAGTGGAGGCTAAAGAAACAATTAGAATCAATTTCATATTTATATCGGATTGAGTATCACATGCTATGAACACATGTCGTGTCAGGTCTAGTGTAAACTGCGTATAGAGCCGCTGCAATACTTTGCTACTGCCGCTAATCCACTCTGTGGGAAATGGGATTCCGCGCTGCACGACTTGGCAACACGGCGCGCTTCAAACTGCACTCAACACCTAGCGATTTACTCAAATCCACTTCCCTATCTCCCGTGGTATATGTGTCTGATAGTTGAATACAGTGTGTAAAGAAGAGAAGGAAAAGTAAGACTTGAGTATTTCCGACAAACAAGAATGCAAGAGAGAAAATTTTTTTATTTGGGGGTATGCAGTACTCGATTTGCGGGGGAACGTGGTGGAACGGAGTTCCAGTACCTCTCTTTCAGAAAGATTAAAATATTGTCATAAATAGGTACAAATCTTATTAAATAGGTTACAGTTAAAGTACCTTATTTTTTACTAATTGAGCACTGGGTGTATGTGCGCCGTTAGCTTTTTTTGCAAGAGAACGCTCCAAACCTTGGTCTTCTTACTATCTAATGTCGACCTTTAAGTTAGATAGCATCATTAATTAATAGCCCAATGACAATGGCACATGGTTCCAGAAACAATCTCACTTGGAATCCAACCAGTGACCACTTTTTCAGGTGAGCACCTTAACCAATCTAGACAATTGAAATCGATGGTGATGGAGGAAAGGAGTCTGAGAGAAAAAAATAAAAGTTAGTAGATAAATGAGTTGAAGAGAAACAAGGGGAAGAGGAGTGAAATGGCAGATGGAAAAACTGTGAAGAAATATAAACATCAAGGATTTTGGATTCTATGTTTTGTTAGTTGCATTATTTCAGTTGGTCTCTAAAACCGATCCCTGCATTAGGTAACCAAACTAGCGTCTACTCCCTATGGTTGCATAGAAAGCCATATATCCGAGGCCTGTGTATATCCGTGCTAACACTGTTCATAATTTGAAGGGTTCACGTTCGCTCTAAGCCGTTTCACACGATTACTCTTAGGAATCAAATTAAAGTTTTCCTTGGTATTTTAGTAATGATTTGTCACTTTTTCCTTGTAAAATATCAAATAACAGATAAATTATTTATGCTTCATAGTTTCTTTATTTTCTACACAGCCAAATTCCAATTTTATAGAGATTAAAACATTCCAAAATGTAAAAAAAAACTCTAAAAATGATAACTACCATGCGAAAAATAACACACACAACTAAAAGACGTGTCAAATATTTTGTAGTGTCCAATCCTGGTTCTGTTACTAGCGAACTTAAAAGTGGCATTACATTAAAACTTGATAACAAATTGTCATTAAGCTGGAAATAATCATACAAAATATGCCATTACTTTTTAAGATAACTTTAAAATAATATTTAAGAATATTATGGTAGGCACGGTTACTAGCAGGCTCAGGCCAACTAGATAACAAATTAATGTTGATAAATAGGTATTAGAAAATACATAGGACACACAAAAGCTCAAGTTATTTTTGGAACTACTAAAAGAACAGTAATCAGTGATCACGAAAAATATTAAACATCTCCCGAACTTGCAAGTACATCATAATTGTCTACCACGACCAAGGAAACTTTATTGTTGTTTTCCGCAATCGTGGCAAGATGTCAGCAGTAATGGAACCATCATTATTGTCTTCTGCGATCACAAAAAAACATTATTGTTGTTATCTGCGATCGTAGCAAACTCCTAAATATCTCCTTCGGTAAGGAAACACATCAAAATAATCTTCCACCATATTGGGAAAATCCTAAACTTGCTGATTCTCGGTAATCCAACTTTTTCATTGTTGAACAAATGTGAAAAATGTTTGAACGAAACATGCAATTTCAATAACAAAAAGTCAGATGTAAAAAAAAACAAAGTATTTGATACAAAATAAATACAAATACAAAGTTAGAAATCCGGCTATGATCCAGGTCCCATAGGTCCCACGGATAAGCAGGGTTGTACAGTAGTTGTACTCACGCTTCAGTCTCATGACATAAAAAAATGTTAACTATTCCTACATTCTTAAGTTGGTCATTATTATGCAACTCTCATGAACTTATTATTAAAACTTTATAATACAGTCAACACTTTGTTAATTTGTTCACGCAGCAACTATTCTCACTACTAGTTAGTGGTATTTTTAGTAGTTTCAAAGTCTAAAATATTGTTTAATCGGTTAGAACAAACAGTCAAAACAGTTAATCTGTTAGTTACAAACAAAATTCAACCTTTATCTTCATTGGTTTCCTCATCAGTTTTATTTTCAATCTTTCCACTTTCCTTTGCAACATTGTTCTCAATGTTTTCGTTCTTAGTATCTGATTTAACTTTTTCACTATCTATCTCGGCTTTGTTTTCAACCTTATCACTTTCTTTCTCAACATTATTCTCACTTGAATGGTCTTGATCATTTATCTCATTATTGTCTTCTTCGCTTATTAAATTTTTGCTTTTCAATTGTTCTTCCAATTTCAGTTTTCTTTCCTTCACCTGTTCTATGAAAGCCTTCTTCTCTTTTATTCTCAATGCTCTTTCGTCTTCTTCTTCTTCCTCCTTAGGAGGCTCTTCCATTTTTTCAACCTCAACTGATTTACCAGTCCACCACCCAAATCTGCAGTCTTTTTCCTACCAAAATTTGACTGTTTTATTTTATCCGCCAAAGTATTAATATGATAAATACAGTAGTTGTAAATATGAGGGCTGTCCATAAATTAATAGCTCCTGTCGCAGCTAAGCGAGCTAGTTAAAAACTGAGGCTAACGTTGATTCTTTAATTTTATCCACTATACAACCCCAAACAAACAGGTCTCCACCCCAATGGGACAATTAGTCTCATCGTGCCATTCAAAAACGTTGTGAAAGAAAATTGACGCTCCCACCAAGCATGAATCACGTACAATGATTAGATTCCTGTAGAAATGGGATAACTTAATCCCCAGGTGATTATTGTTGCTGACAGATATGCGTGCAGAAAAGTGACTTGGAAAATGTGCATTAGTGGCTTAATAAGGCCTGCCTATACTATATACTTAGGTACGGATAGTTGGAGCCCGTACGTATTAGAACAGGGTCGGAAGCGGTTCAAGAGTTTTTGTCACAACAGTTACTGAATCTGAATAAACTTGGCTTGCTGATCGGTGTTTTTCAGACTTTGATAGTTTGATAGAAACACCCCCTTTTAGTTCAATAAACTCTCTCATTCAGTTACATCACACAAAATTCCTATAACTTTGGCCACTGCTTCAAACGACCAATTTATGTGCCCAAACACCAAAGACCACTCATGTCTGTAAACTGGTGATGGACTGAGCAGTTGACGACTGGATACTGAAACCTAACCATAGAATACAATTTAAACTTGGTGTTAGCATCAATTTTACAATTTTCTTTCACAATGTTTTTGAATACTTTGACAAGACTAATCCCCCCATAGGGTGGGGCTAGAATAGTAGTAAATGAAGCAACTCAGAGTTGGCCTCATATTTGAACTAACTCACTTATCAACTAACACAACGGGAGTTTAAGTGAGACCTTATTTACAGAAAACCCTTGTATGTTATATGAAAGTAATAATTTCTTAGAGACTGTTAGTATTTGTGTTGGTAGCTAAACAGCCAGATTAGATTTCTAATTAAATATAAACAAAAAATAATCAAGCAAAAGAAATTTTTTTCACTCAGTTACATTTGTTTACCTCTTTTACAAACTTAAGTGGTTTCACCAAAACTGACAAGATTTAAGGAAGTGATAACATGGAAAATTAATAGACCAAAACCACAAAAAAATGTACACCAATGTTTTACACACTAAAAAACAATTAAAATTTAAATCCAGCGAAGCAGCTACCAAAGTTATACATAACACTGAGTTCAAATATCCCTCCTAATAAAAATGCATTCCATGTTAGACCTATGCCCGTACAAACTATGAATTTGAGATTTAAATCTGGAATAAAATATCAATTTGAAAAATTAAAAAAAGTGTATTTCAGTACAAAAATTTGGACACATCCCAAACAAAAATAATTTAAGTGCTCACTTCACGATCCTTCTTCGCAAACTTGTCAAACATATTTGCGTAAATCTGCTTCTCTTTGGCTAGTTGTTCTTTAAGCTTCTGGTTACAGATGTTAACATGTTGAGCTGCGGCTTTGTTGGCCGGGTCTTGCGACAAAACCGCCTCAAAGTCCACTTTTGCGATTTCTGGTTCTCCAAGTGCTAGATTGGCCTGAAACATTTTAAAACTTAATTAGACGACTAGACTAACTCAGCTGACATACTTTTCTATTTCCCAGATAATATAGAAAATCACTTTCCTGATTCAAGAATTTACATACCTGTCCCCTCCTAAACAAAGCTTTCTCATTGGTCGGTTCCATTTCCAGCACCTTGTTGCATTGATCCTTGGCCTCCGTGTATTCCTGCAGTTTGTTATGACAGAGCGCACAATTGAGATGGTTGGATACCAGCAACGTTTTGCGCTCCTTTTCACCTTCGTCTACAAAACCTGCACAGATAAAGAATTGATTTAACTATTTACAAAATCATTTTAGAAGGTAATACATGACTAATTGTCCTGTCTTCGGTTATTCCACTTTCCATGTGACCATTCTATGTGACATCTGTGCACATACTGCTATGTGCTATTTCAAGATGATATGACTGTACACTGTAGTAGGTACGTCAACACAACTCATTTTTTCACCCCTGCCTGTACTTGGATGATACCAATACTATCTGCACTTGACTATGTTATTGTTTTACCCCGGTGTATACCAAGTCGCAAGTGCAAATAGTATTTTATCTTATATTTTACCATTACAATATTGGTGTTTATACTTTGTCAGCTGTTTTATGTTATTTGTTATGGTGACTTCCAATGGGAATTATGCCCTCTACAAGACAGTGTTAATATATGCATAGGTAGTATTCAATTGGGTCCGCGGAATTGGCTAACTCTGGAACTCGCTAACCCCATGTTAAAAGCCCTATCTTCAAATTTGGTCGATGAGAGGAACTCGCTAACTTGTTCGGTTTCGGAATTGGCTAACTCCGGAACCCGCTAACCCGCTCTAGAGCCGGGTTAGCGAATTCCGTCCTCGTACGGAAGTCGCTAACTCGGTCCCTCGGCGGAACTCGCTAACTCCCAATCAGAAGCCTCGCGGGCCGTCCAATGGGAGCCAAGCACGAATATTTTTGGCCAGTGTTGCCGAAAGTGTAGTACCTATATAGTATTGGTACCATAATGTCGTATCCTACGATTAATTAGGAGTAAGAGCAACGTAGTTGATCAAATAAATATATTGAGAAGTATGTTTAACATTATTCTCATGATTATTAGGGTGGAAAATGCATTATAGTCTTACCATAGACTAACCAAAACAAGTAAACTTTATATCCCATTGTAAACTTTGAAGCTTGTTTTTCGCGTCTAGTTCATGTCCGGTGACACTGATCGCTAGTGTCGACAAAATTGTGTTTCTATTATTTCTATAGTTAACTTCGTAATTTGCTCTTTACTGTTTGGTTATATAACTAGGGGACGTGTTATTAGTTGTGATTAGAACGCTTTATTTGGTTAAACGAGGTTTTAAATGACTGGAAACAAGAAACAATTGTAAACAAAACAAGACCTCTAAAGACAGTGCACCGGACAGAACTAACAATAAAACTGTTTTCAGCTGATCCATAAGGATTAGAAATATACTAATATAAGAGAGTATGTTTTATATTTGGGCTTCTTACTTAAATAGTAGCTTAATGGTATGCAAAAAGATAAAAATGTACATTTAATTTGGATCTTTTACATGTTAAAAAATATCTATTTTCGTAATCGCCATTTGTTTATTTTATTCGAATAAATACCATTTTTTGAACTTCTGCAAATAAATTATTGAGTTTGTATTTTATATACTGGGCTTGTAACCTTGAATCATAAAATTGAATCATAAATCATGATAAAATGTAGACGTTAAACGTCAGTCCAGAAATACATTGTAGTGGTAATGTATTTTTAAATAGAGCTATTGAATTTAAATACATATTTATCAATACAATATTATAAAGTTGTAGGCCTAATTTATTCATAGATTGCATTAAAAATTAGTCTATGCATAAATACAACTTGTAAATTTCTTTTATCGTAGGCTATTAGTGTAGAACCCGGGTCAATCCTCTTAATTTTGATTAATTAATATTAATTTTACGTCTTTCAGTAGGCCTATTTTTTAAAAGTCTGGAGTTTCCTCCAGGCTGGTTCTAAATCGACCAAGACGTTCTTGTTTGTTACAATTCTTATGAATGGTGGCCATACCTAAAATTACTTGATCTTATCCAAAAACAAAGTTATTGTCTATTGAGTAGCTCAGTACCGGGGAACGGTGAACCGAGCAATGGCTTGGTATAGTTTATTTTGATTGTGAAACCAATGTAAAGGAAACCCAACTAAGAAAATCCGTCAATTCGATGATTAAGAATCGTGAATTAAAATTACCCTGTCACGTTTTATTATATGAGTATTATATCTTCTCCTATTATTTACTAGTGGTGCTTAGGTGTACAATCTAAAAACTGTTTGAAAACATGTAACATTATTACTAAAAAACTCAACACATTTTAGAATTAGGCAACTATTTATTAGTAGGCCTACAATGCTTTGGCTTAAACTATTAGGCCTAGATAAAAGCTTAGTCTAATGTCATATTTTTACACGTAAGTTGGACGATTCAACGGCGAACATTTAATTTTAAATCTATGAATTAGTTATGAAAGTTACGATGGTTGATGACTGATGGTTGATGTTTGATAATTTTGATAAATTTGTTTTCCGTGTTTGAGAACTAGCGTGTATTTTAGCTTAATTTCGTAGAGGTTTAATTATTTAGTACCTTTTCAATATTTTTCAACTCTATTATTTTCTTTTATACTTATGATGGCATTTATATTTAAGATCGAAATCATAAACATTTAACTGGCCATTGTAGAGTTAAATAAAAAAACACTTTTCATGATTTTTTAATAATTGTCTTTGAATTAATTTTGGGCTAGTTATCTGTTAAAAGTGAAATTAGTAACAAAAACAATTACATTTACTGTATCTTCATTGACACTGCTATTTTGAAATACGGTAATGTACGATTATTTTGTAGTGCAAGGTTGGCAACGCTCCATGCAGTGGGCGCGGCCGGGTTAGCGACTTCCAGAGTTAGCGAATTCCGCCGCGAGACAAAATCGAGTTAGCGGGTTCCGGAGTTAGCCAATTCCTGACTGAGGCGGTTAGCCAGTTCCAGAGTTAGCCAGTTCCGACACACGACCGAGTTAGCGAGCTCCTGAGTTAGCCAATTCCTACGTCTCATTCAATTTTGATTGGACTCTCCAATCTTTGGCGAATGAAGCTCGATGGAACGCTTTCACTGTGGCTTTTAAAAGAAAAATGTTCGTGTCGTGTTAATGGAAGACTATATTGAAGCATTGAATAGGTTTGACAACAATGAAACAACAAGTTTGCAACGGTTTAAAAAATTATTTTCCTGCTATCCCACTTACTTATCCGACTTAGTCGTAGATAGTTTTGATGAGATAGTTTAAATGACTAGTGGTTTAATGATGATAGTTAGTAGTAGAAAAAGTCTACAGTTTTGATGATGAACACTTATTTTCCATGACAAAAAACATGATAGTAACCCAAGAGGTGAAAATTACCTGAATCAAATTCCAAGTATTCTATCGCCTTTTTGTACATTTTTAAAGCTAATTGGAACTTGTTTGCTTTAAAGTAATTCGTTCCTTTTTCTTTGAAGAACTTTCCTTGCTCTAGTTTCCCATCTGAATCTAACGCCCAAGACTCTTTCAACTGAAAACAAAATTCTTGATTAAAGTAAGAGGCCTTAAGGATAGTAAAGAATTAAAAAACAGGCATTGTAGGTTCAACACATAACATATTTCATTTAATATAGATTTCTTATTGATTCTACAGTAGTAGAACCCCGTTTAACCGAAATAAAGGGGGGAGAGCCGTTTTGGATAACCAATTTTTCGGTTAACCCGTCATATGCTAAAAATGACCTATGTATACCTCGGTGAGTTAGAAAAATGAATTTAAAACATTGTCTATATAATAAATACAGTGTTTTATTTCAGCTACAGAAATGTTAAAACTGGTTACAAAATACTTAAAACAAAACAACTGAAGTTACTAAAGCCTTTTACATTACGCATTACTTATATTTTAGTCCTGTATTATATTATGGAACCATTTCGGTTAACCAGAGTTTTATTGTACTATAAAACTAAGCAACATCCAACAGGCTAGACACAGAATTATACCATAAAATTATGAACTGTATCAATTTTTAAATGTATCAATTTTTAAATGAATAAATGTTTAACTGTATAAATTTGACCTATCAAGTTTTAAACTGTTGAATCCTAGTGTAGACCACTGAACATACTCCGTTAATACAAAAGTATATTTTTATGTATATTATTTATTTGACAGACTTATTTTAAGCAAATAGCTACAATAATGTTCCTTAGAAGAGTAATTTTTACCCCCGTTAGCTTTAGAATTGATTTAGTTTTGTACAATTTTCATTCACTTGTATGGATTGCCTCCACAAGATCCAAAATGAAAAGGTCCAAAGTTAATATATCATTTGATATCCTAGTGAGGGTAGTAAGATCCAAAATATATGAATTTTTCGTTCCAAAGTTCAGAAGAACGCCTTCAATCTGAGAGACACACTGATCTTTGGAGCTACCGATTCTTATATTGTGGATCTTCTGACCCTCTTAGCATCACAAGACACAAAGTTCAAAGTACAGTCTCTCCTATTTAAGTTTACTTCACAATGTAAACTTGTACTTCTGGTAATGACTGTACTTTTGGATCTTATGATCTAATATTTTTGGATCTTGTGTTTTGAAATACAGTATAAACTTTAGATCTTCATGATTTTGGATCTTGTAAAATGTTCCCTCTTGTTCTTAGATTTTATCGGATTAGAAAACTGTGTGACCGATACAAATAATGACAGATTAATGCTGATACTAGTTAACCCTAAGTACCTTATGAAAACTTACTTTTTCAAAGTTATTTAGTGTTACAGTGTAAATGAGATCAGAGTTCGGTGGGATTTGCAGTTCTGGTTTTCCGTTTTTGCCCCAAGCGTATTTGGATTTAATTTCTAATTGAGATTTCTCTTTCAGTTTGAATTTCTCTAAAGCCTTCTCCACTCCTGACGGGACGTTGTGTTCGCTGCCCTCTCCGAGATTGAAGACGACATCTCGTTCTTCTACAACTTTTCCTTGACACTCGCACACTAAGTGAACTGCAAACAGATTTAGTTTGAGCCTTTTACTTAGTTGGTACACATTAACTTGAAGAATGTATGCAACACTTAGGGTCCATATTTCAGTTAGTAAAACTACACAGACATTAAATATTCCATCACTTCTAGAGCACCTGTATCTCACAACACTTGAAAATGCCACCAGACAAGTGGCGACTGCCGACAACTAGTCTTGTAATACAAATGAAGAGGGAATGTATACACACCTGGGGCAGTTGATAACACCAAACTGTTTTAACTGCCTAGAACAACTTACTTGGGTAGGCCAAGTCAGTTGTGTATACCCATTTTTTGTGTGTAATGAAAAACAGGATCAGCATAGAAATAAAGAGTTGAACCATGGGGGAGAGATTTGGCGGTAATCATTCCCAATTTTGTGCCCTGTAAGGTTGGCAGAATTGGGCAGGTGATACTTGAGACATGTTATCTGTACAGATAAGCAACACAACATCCTCACCACAGCCTGATAAACAATAACCACAACTTATCTTTCAATAATATATTTAGGTGGAACAAAATATCATCAAACAAACGACACCTTTTAAAATGTAGAACAATTTAAGTACATCCGTAGGCCTAGTACGATTAACTTATAAAATTGTATTACGCACCGTTGTGGTCTACTTAGTACAAAACCCAGAATACATGTACACTAAATAAAAATAAAAAAACTGAAATCTGTAAACCTAAAAACCATTAGCGTAAAAATACAAGACGAGACGGGCAACATAAACAGTATTATAGAATGTCAGAATGGTAAAACTAGAGTTTTTTTTTTTTGTAAAAAGGATGAATGAAAGAAGAGTGTGGTGACTAAAAGTTTAATTAAAAAAGAAAGGTTGGCAGGAAGGTGGAAGGCTGTGATGGAAATGGAAAAAAATCTCTAAAGATCACCAAATATTCTATAAAATAGTTTGTGGCTCTAATGCGAAAAAGGAAAACATCCAGAGAAAATGTGAGAGGAGTTTTACTAAGGAGACAAGGATAAAAGAGGCTTCAAGCATTACTGGGAGAATGGAACTAAGGAATCAATGATGAATTGGTTCAAACTAAAAATAAAAATAATTTTTGTAGGTTCTAAAGAGTCAACTTGTTAATCAAGTAGTTTACTCTATTCAAAACCACTTCTTTTAGGAAGCAATTCAAATCGGCTGTTTCATAAAACTTTTATCAACAAATTTAATAATATAAATTGATAGTGATAGTGATAAATTTTTAATTAATAGCCTATACAATTTTTTAATTTTTCCCCTGATTACATTTTGAAAGCTAGAGATAATAGTATATTTCGTACCTAGGGCCGAAAATGAGATTTTAACATTTCGGTCTGTGGTATGAACGCTATTTTTCACCACACTATACCCTATTACAACTTTAAGGTTATGTGACGATTAATAATTTGAGGAATAAGCAAAAATAATAATAAATAGTTGCAAGGCAGCGGTGACAATAAAAACATTCTATTGCAATGCTATGGATACTAATTGTGTATTTAATAATGCATTCATGTTTTAAGTTAAGAAAGTAGGCGGGTAGCTGATTTTGCGGCCCTAGGGATGTAAAAACCTGCTCGGTCCCCAAATGACGATGACAGCTGGCATGGCCAGCAAAAAGTAACTTTCAACCACCAATTAACGTATGTCAAACAGCTAAAAGCATCATAGTGTGGTGAAAAAACTATTTTTAAAGTTATAGACTACCTATCTAAACTACATATTTTCAAAAACTCTACAGTATTTTTGACTCTGGAAATAAAAATATAACCTTGTAAAACATAAGCATAAAGTAAACAAAACCTCACCAAACACATGCGGCGATGACTGTGTTGTAAAATAAACAGATGATGATTTGCAAATATTTAAATATAAAATTAACAGGTCGTCCAACTGGCCAAAACAATATATTGTAACTCACAAGCTAACATGAAGTTTAAAATTTAAGTATTCCCGAATGACACTGCAACACTATCTGTCGGAAAAATTTTGAACCACGTCAATAATGATGACATAATCACTGACATCGAGTCAGGCTTGTGTTTCCGCATTCGGCCCGTTATTGAGTCAGACTCATGTGTCGTCCTCAACGGGTTAACATGTTCTATGTTTATAAAAGTATCGTTTCTTAAAAATAAATAGTAAATACATGTTTTACTTCGAACAGGTACTCACTATCGACCATAGATCCATCGTTGGGGCATGCGTGTCCTTCCCCAGCTTGTAATATACTTCTAAGGATTCCTCCGTCTTTCTTAGGACTCAGATCTTCTTTTTGCCAATCGATCATTTCAACCTACAAAAGGGAAAACTTATTAGCTTTTTCTTTAAACACAACTGACACGGATAAATTTATTCATAGCATCAAATAATAATTGTTTTAAAGTTTAAATTTTATTGAAATAAATATGCCATTCTGGTTTCAGTTAGATTGCCATAAGAAATTAAAGATAGACACAACGACTGTAGTTTAATCTTTGATCTCTATTGACTATCCATTAATTTAGCTATGCCTAGTTCAATTATATCCATCCCTTGTCGTAATATGAACACAATCTTAATTTCTAACCAGTTTCTCGGGAAAAACACACACAGTAGATTTGAACAAAAAAGGAGCAAAATATCTCCAAGACAAGGAGATCTAAAAAAATTTGTGTTAAATTGTGTTCCCACAGGGGGGTTTGATGTCATAAATTGTTACATCCCTAGATTTTTTGGGGGGATTAATAAAATTCGGATTTGGGTGGGATTAGAGACTGAAGTTTATCCGAAAGATTTAGCTCATGTTTGTGTACAACTTCCTTGATTTATTACTGGGGTATTAATAGTTTTATGATGATTATTAAATGTATAAATGTGGATTACCAACACTGAGTCGTACATGATTTTGTCAAGGGGACAAATTACAGCTTATCTATATATAAAGTCAAAAGTAGCCTACCCATAAACTTTTGAGAAAACTACAAGTCACACCCCCCCCCCCATAAACCATATAGGACTACTTAAAATGTTTGTCATGACGAGAAACCTTGCGCAAAACCATCCATTATTTCATAAATTGCCCTTTAAGGTCGTAATTCCTTTCTAAAGGGAACTTTCCATATACCTAATTTTAAAAAATACCTCAGCTGTACTTATTTATTTGTTCGCATTCTGTTTTGTTTATTTCAGCTTAAATTAACCAATCAATAATTTTGTTAATACTTATGAAGTCAAACGGGGTGAAGCCTGTGGGTAACACTAGTTGCTATGGCTAGTTGCCATAACTGTTTATTAGTTGCATATTAAGCTTTTATCTGCAGGCATATTTATAACTTCAAAGGGGGTTTTTCGAAGTGAACACTGCACAGGCACAGTTTAATATGATTTAAAAAAAAACTTGTCTCCAGAGCATAAAAAATAATACAATTAATATACCACCCATTTTCCTATTAAAGACTACTTTGTAGCTAAAATCATCGTCATATGGAAAAAGAAAATATGAAAGTTGGTTGATAACAATCAGACTATAGGTCGGCCGCTTAGAAAGCGACCTCCTCCATCATTGGTTTAGCATTAGCGCGCAGGTCGTTTTCTAAGCAGCCGAACTATAACTAAAGTACTAATTTATTCCTACAATATTTAAAATCTGTACCATTAGGGTGGTTTATCTACCTTGAGGCTGCTACAACCAATAAAAGTAGCCTATTTAAAATTAATTTTCATACAGTGTACTACGCAAATTCTAAGGCCGGTTTTATCCACCGCGACAGTCACGTGTCGCGGCGCGACTCAAGTTCTATTGAGTTAAATGGGAGAATTTATGCACCGCGACAGCGACAAACTGCCATATAACTTGTATATCTTGTCTTGTATTCTCCATATATTTATATTCATTAATGTTAATAATTAATATATAAATGAGTTCTTTACCCTTTATTTGTAATATAAATTACATCATTTTATTATGTAATGACATTTTTAAGAGGGTTGACCCAATTCTAACTGTAAATTGTAAGTGGTGTTTAAATAACTGGGGTTTTGTCATTAACGTGTACACACAACAGGGTCTATATTTAAACAACTTAATAATCACTCCTAATAAAATATTTGGTTTTACAATGAATGAATTTTAATCATTCCTAAATCATAACCACAACCCACAACATTGGATTGAGAACTGACTGCGTTAATTAATTCCCCCACAACCGGATGTGAGTTTACGCGACAAAAAAGTGTCGCTGTCGCGTAACCGATTGGTCAGCCGCAACACATGTAGCGACTGTGGCGGTGCATAAAACCAGCCTAAAGTAATAAGCTGTCAAATTGCAGTTCACATTTAAAACCACTAAACAGAAGTTGGTTAACAGCCCTGAACCCTGAAACTCCCCTCTAGAAAAAAAGTCTAGGTGAGCAAAGCCTAAGAGGGCCTTTTTTAATTAGCATTCGTCTTTGCGGTAGATTATAAGCTTTAAAATGACACCTCAATTGTATGAGTAGGACAAGTAAAAGAGAGATGTATCAGAGAAACCCCCCCCCCCCCCAACCATTAACCCTTATTGTATTAGGTAAACATTGATATTTTTTGTTATTGTTTTGCAGGGTTCAATACAAATGTTGCGGGGTGTGAAGAAGTTCTTTTTGTCCCCCTATTGCAAAAAAGAATTAGTCTGGGGGTAAAATGACTCTTTTCAACCCGAGCTCAATTTTACCAACAAGGCAAAGCCGAGGTTGGAAAATGAGCAAAGGTTGAAAAGACACTTTTTGCCCGTGTGTTGAACTATATTTTTTGTCCTATTTCTCAACATTAATTAACAAACTACGTTAAAAAAAACCTACTTTTCATGTAAAGATAACCACTCAGGAGGACTTCCAACTTGTTTTCAATTTTGCTAAATGCAAACAAGCAACTGTTTATAGTAAGTGATTCAATTATTTTTTCCATTGAGTTAGTGTAAATTATATTATTGATATGATATGTCGAACTATTGATAAGAATGAAACAATAAGCTAGAACCAATTAAATCAATCGTTACATAATTTTGATAGCCTACATGCAATTGCTTACAATGAAAGTTTACAACTGAGTTTACAACACCTGACTTTTACCATAGACAAAACATACTCCCTTAGATTTCTCATCCTTATGGAACAGCTGAAGACAATTTTATTGTTACTGTACGGTTTATGTAGAGGTCGTGTTTTGTTTACAATTTGTTTCCCGTTATTACAGCCATTTAAAACCTCGTTTAACCAAATAATACGATCTAATCATAAACAATAACTTGTCCCCTAGTTATATAACCAAACAGTAAAGCACAAATCAAGAAATTAACCCTAAAACAATGGAGACAAAGTTTCGTCGACACTAGCGCCCATGTGTCACGTACCGGTACATGAACTAGACACGAAAAACGTGCGTTAAATTTTACAATGGGATGAGAAGTCTACTTGTGTTGGTTAGTCTATGCTTTTACTCCCTGAAAAAGGGCAACTTTAAACTCACAAGCATGTATTAAAAAGCGCTGCTTTTGCTGCAGTATGACGAAAAATACAATAAGTACATATGTCTCCACCGTTCCGCAATAATCATTCTGCTGAGTTTGGGGGGAAAACAGCTCAGATTGATAAATAGGCCTATATCATTTCATCATAATAAATATGTTAGTGTTTATTATCGTGTCCCATTATATGTTTCACTGTAATGAAATCGAAAATTTACCCCAAATCAGCATTTAGACCAATTTTACAAATTACAGCAGCGGCTGAAATATACGTAAAAAATGGGGACTAATTTATAATAGTATAGATAACAATGTATGCAATTATCATCTGTGGGTTAGCTAAATTTAATGCACAGTAGGCCTACACAAAAAATATTGATCGTCAAAAAGTGTTTCCAGAGTAGCAATGTGTTGACATCTTCTGTAGTGTTAGTCAGTACGCAGTTCAGAATCTTAGGCTACATACTGTACTCTGGAGATATTGATTATTTTGCTTGACAAGGACGTGTGTAGGCCTAAATAACTGTTTTGTTTAGGCCTATACTTAGGCCTACTGTTTGTGTGAACTAAATTACTCGGGGCAACAAAAAGTGCTCAGCAGAAGATTTGAAATTCGGACAACATGCCTTAAAACCATATGACCGACAAAGGGACCAGGTAACCAACCAGCTTATTTATTAAATAACCTTTAAGTTCGACACATCTACTATTGGAGCTTCAGATTAAGTTACCTATAGACATTATGTATTATTGGTATTATTCAAATGATAGAATGTAGCTATAAGTTTCATTAGCATTACATCAGCATACAATGGTTTTTCATGCAAATAGGCTACTATCTACGCTACCTATGTAATTTTTACCTCAAAGTAAAGCGTCGCATCAGGAGGAATATTCGGTGGGCTCCCACTTTTCCCGTAAGCGTATTCAGATTTGCAAGTCAGCATACAGACTTCACCTCTCTTCATCGTAGCCACACCAATGTCCCAAGCCTTTATTACTTGTCCTGAAATTTGATTTTGTAAATATTATCATTAACTTGATCAAATAAACAAGTCTGAAAGCGAGATACACATGAATTCATGTTTGGTAACTTAGTTAATGATTCAACTGATCTTAAGTCTGTTCAAAATCACATTAGAAGCATTTACTGTTTCAGTTTATGTCTAACAAAAGTAAAAAGTTGGAATCAAGTTAGGAATGAAGAGATCATAAGGGTTGGTTGAAGACAGAGAAGTGGGGAACTATTTTTGAGCATGATAAAGGCCTCAGAGAAGAGAAAGATTCTGGGGAAATGGAGTTTAAAGGGTGATAGAGGAATGGAAACCGAGACAAAAAGCTAAAAAATGGATAATTCTGAGGTTGGGGAGGGATGTGGGGAAGAGAGCGAGAAGATGGCGGAGCGAGAGAAACTGTTGACAAATAGGATGAGACAGAGGCCTAGTGGCCTAGTCGACACTCAAGACCAGAAATAATTCAGGCCTACAGAAAATAATATTAAAGTAGCCTCTCACAATCTTTCAAATATGCATGTAAATTTAGTTAAAAGTGTAAGTAGGTATATCTTTGTTATGAAACGAATTCACTAAATATTGGGTTTTAATAACTTGTTCAAAAAAAAATAAATTAAATGGTTAATAAATCAGGACTATTTAAGCCTTTGTGAAATCTACACAATTCACATAAGTTACCTTTGCCCAAATTGAACTCAAACGGCTGATTTCTATCCTTGCTGGAGTCAAACTTGGTCCCGTCAGTAAGTGTGCCTGTGTAGTGCACCGAGACCTTACAGCCAGCATTAGGCGTGTACTCCCCCTCTCCATGCTTGATGATTTCCTTCAGCACGCCACCGTCCCCAGCAGGTGAAATGTCAAAGGCATTTGGACCTGGAGAATAGACCTTCTCTTCGCCAGCTGTCATTGTTTACAGCCTGAAAAGATGTGAGAACAGTTATAAAAATGAATATACACTAGGCCTATTCATTTTGCATACTGCTAGTTGACTTAAAAAACTCGTCCTATTGTAAAATCAGAGGAGGGTTTTGATGTGTTGTTTCGTGCTTGAATAAGCTAGGCTTATATATCATTTGTTATGAGATAATGTTTCAACCTTCAGGGTGCAGCTACCATAAAAAGGAGGTGAGGAGAACTGTTGCTGGATTGGAGACCTTCCTCCAAAAAAACAATACAATATTAAGGGCCATGATGGAAAATACCCATGGGGGACACTTTCCAGCAACACTTACTAGAAGCTTCGAACTGGTTTGAGGCCAATGGCCTCCAGCTGAACCATACTAAAACACAGTCCCTTGTTTGCAGTCTAGCCAAACGTGCTCCTCCGAATGATCCAGTGAAGTTGTTGGGATTCACACTCAACCAAAAACTAACGTGGAGTGACCATATAGACCAAGTTTGCAGTAAACTATCGAGGGTATGCTGCCTGCTTCTAAAACTAAGATATCTGGTCACAGAGAAATACCTGCTGAGCGTGTATCACGCAATGTTTCATTGCCATGTGAGCTATGGTATTTTGCTGTGGGGACATGCACCCACTACCGAAGAAATATTGATCCTGCAAAAGAGAGCACTGAGAATAATCACCTTCAGCGATGGTTTGGCTCACTGCAAGCCTATATTTGCCGGGCTAGGCATACTTACAGTGTTTAGTCATTATATCCCCGCCTGCATAAAATACGTGCTAGACAATATCGAGGAGTTTCCTACCAGAGCAGCAACACATCAACATCTTACTAGGCATCATACACGACTAGATGTCCCTAGAGTTAGGCTGTCAAGGACTCAGAAAGCCTTCAGTAATGGAGCAATAAATATATTCAATAAGTTGCCAAACTCCATCCTGCACCTTGAAAAAAGGAAACTCCTTAAGATGGTTACAGCGTATCTCAAAGACAAAGCCTACTACTCGCTGAAGGAGTACTTTGAAGACCCTCTATTAGGCCTAGGCTGAAGTATGCCTGTCCACAGCCTCAGTTTTAATTGTATATATGTGTAAATAAGTGATTTTATATTTTTAATGACGCCATCAATCCCCCATAGGGTAAAAGATGAAGAATCGGTAATAAGGTAATTATAAGAACAGCATAGTTAACTATACCTAACCAAATAAATTAAGAAACCTAAGAGGTAGTTAATTTGTTTATGTTAGCCTAGTTTCAGGTCCTAGGCCTAGAATATATAGCTTACGCTATTGTATTTTATCAAAGTTTATCCATAAAAATATCAAATCAAAGATAGGCCCTACTAAATTTTTTAATTTAGACCAAGCAGTTCTATTGATTTTGAATCCAAAAGGTAAGTTACTGCTCTATTTATATTGAGTTCGTTATTATAGGTGATTTAATGCCTAACTTAATTTAGTCTAATTTTGTAGGTACTTGAGTGTTACTAATCTAGTTAATCAGTTAATGAACAACTACATTTCATAATTCAATTATTCACATTCCTTAAAAAAAACTTACTTAATTCTACTACGATTGAATCTAGTTTGAAAATCCAATAGAGACGATATTATTAACCAAACAATGAATATTCTCCCTGGCGTGCGTGCGTGAAGGAAAATGAAATTAAGAATGAAATAATGAATGATGACAACTTGCGTGTTTTCTTTGTCGGTGTCGACTAGAGATGGGCGTTATTTAACATAACAGGATGAATAACAGTGTTGCGGCCACGGCAACGTTATCGCGGCAACACGTTGCCGAGAACTCCCTGTTATTATAATAACGTATCTACCAACACAATGTTGCAGGAAAGCCGCGCGAACAACGAAAACGAAAACATGCATTGCCATTAGTGTCGTTGCCGCAACGCTACCAGAGCATTAGAGCAACGATAACTTCTGAAACGAACTAGAATTAGAATAACGCATCCTGTATGGACAACGCGGCAACGCCCGACTCGCGACTACAACTGAAAACTGAACTGATCAACCGACAACGGTAACTGAACGCCGCAACACCGACCGGCGGACAACGGTTTACAAAGCGGCAACGAGTTGGCAATCGTTATTGAAATAACAGGTTGCCGCAACACGTTATTGGGCAGCTGCGTTATCGTTATAACCGTTGCCGGAAAACAACGATAATTCCCATCTCTAGGTCGACTCTTGTCGACTGCCGGTAGAAGCAGAAGCAGAAGGAAGAATAGAGAATACAAATGGTGTGAAATTTTGTCAACGGCCAATAAATAAAACACCTAGAAAGTTCTAGAAAAAAAATTATTTATATTCTCAAGATATTGATTTTTTATACTTATGAAGCGACCCGAGTCTATTTGTAAAACCCTCAACGAATATTTTTATCGCTCTACATAAAGGCGAACAAGGATGAGGTGGTGCCTGAGGACCCATGCTTTTCAGGGGCTCCACACAGCCATAATTCAGGTACAGTATTAAGAGAGGCTCGCTGTTGAACTTCGCCTTGGGCTTGGGCCCCACAATCTCTAGGGCCACCACTGTGAACACAACTAAAGTGTTTGGAGTGTTCTGCGTTGCTAGCCTAGTGGTTAGCGTCTTGGACACTTGGACCAGTTGGACCTAGGTGTGGGAGGGATGAGGGATGGGTTCGATTCCCGGCAAGCATATAATGGCCCCTTATGGGTTTTGGACCGCTTTCCCAAAAAGCGTTTGAATATCACCTTGGACAAACAAACACAAAGGAGTATGTTTTATCTTTTATCTATGGTGTGTCCTTATCACTCTCTTTCATATCATCTCATGTAAAAATTCTAATGGTATTCATAAAACCCTTCGATTTGATTGATAAAAAATAATATTCCTTGAACCATTCAAAGTAAATTATTAGATTATTTCCCTTTACGTCACCGACACGCCACGATACGTATTTTGGGTGACTTTCATAAATGGTACCTATCCGAAACAACCGAATGAAAATATCGAACTCAAATATATATGTCGTCTATCCTTTCTCAATCTTTGATTAACATTATCATATAATATTTGCGTCGATCCAAATTTTGTTTACTTTTATTAATAATCAAATATATTATACACTATAAAAAAAAACAGTTCTACGTCGAAGATGTTGTAATGTACATATCAGATATCAGACAGGCGGTGAACAGAATTCGTCTTATTATAATTTCTTCAATCTTTTTCTGCTATACTATGCTATGCTAATGCTGATGCTGAACTGAACTGCCAAACTAGGGAATTTGTCGGCTGCTGCGTTGTTTTTACTGTAAATTATCATCCCAGTTATGATCGCAGGTTCTCTACGATCAACGAGTTAATTCAAAATTGAAGTTAGTATTGCTTTATTTAATTTAGTTACCAGGCCTAATTCTGAGTAGCTTTATTACAAATCTATAAATATTTGCACTTGCAGTACAGTATTGTTTTACCATCCCCTTTGATTAAATCCTCAATCCCTGAAAAAGCTGTCAAAATCCAATAGGCATAAATCCTATTAATTTATAGTGTAATTCTTCAATTGCAGTGTAGTAGATTAATTGGTGTCTCATTTCAAAGAAAATATTGCTTATAGGCCTACCTGGATGTAGCCTTTCCCTAAAATTAGCATATTTGTTTACTCTCAGCTATGTAGAAAACTAGAATTTTCTAGCGTTTATTAAGAGTTTGGATGGTTTTATAAATTTAGGTAAGATAAACTTAATATTTGTATGGTTAGGGCGATTGTATAGAAAAAATGTAATCCATAAATGAATAAAATTAGCAATTTTAAAAAATATATAAGTTACTTTTGTGCGCCAGTGGGATATTGCGTTTTTTTTATGTGGTGGTTAGAAACATGGGTAACTAATATTTGGTCTAACTGATCTGTGCAAAGATCATTATTATTATTATCTTTACTAAAGCAGAGCTGTTTAGACAAGTTTTGGCTGAAGTTGAGGCTAACATACACTCGTCTCAGGTCATTAAGAGCAATTGTCGCCATGGTGACTGCCAGGACCTGACCTCTAGATGGACGACAAGATGACTCCCCTCGGCCAGAAGCCTCTTGTCCACCTCACCATCAACTTCCGCCAGCTGTGTCTGGTCACCGTCTCGCTGCCATTGTGTGCTCTTGTCTTCTGCTTCGTGACAGCCTACATATTCCAGCCAGATGAGATCCATGAGACACATTGTCGAGTGAGTAAAACCATGCTAACCAGGGCTGCGTTAAGGGTCAGTAGAGCTCTGGGCAAACCCAAAAGCAGCGCCCCCCCTTTTTTCCTAACTGCGGGTGGGCGGGTGCCCCCCAACCACCGGCGCCCTTAGGCCTATGCCCAGTCTGCCAGATTATAAAAGCAGGCCTGAAGCTAGCAGTGATTTATTGATTCTGTCTGGGTGGACCTTGTCTTGTTCAAACACAAAATGTTGTCATGGATATTTTGACTAACCTAACCCAGCTCAGGAGCTATCCAGCTGTTTATAAGCTAGCACTTAACTCCGTTGCTAGCTGTGTTATTTGCCTTCAAAATGGCTTACATTACATTTTAGCAAAGGTTGATCTTGTTTAAAACAGAGTATCCATAGTCAAAATAAATAGGATACCTAGTCTAATTACTTCAAACAGTTAAATTTTTTTGATCGGGCTTTGCTCACTTTAGATAAGGTTAACATGACTCTTCCGCAGGTGTACAACATAATACCGAGCATCAGTGCCATCACGGGCGTGAGTCCTCAGCGCTACTTGTGGCGGATATGTGTCGCGCTGCACATCGGCCCACGACTACTGATCGCCAGCATCTACCACGCTTACTACAGAACTCGCATGGAAGCGCAGCGGCTGCTCAGCGTTTGTTACTGGCTCAACATCACAGAGATCGCTTCACTGTGCGGCGTCACCTATATATCTAATAAGGAGAATTATCGTAAGTCGGTACCGATGTTTTTTCTTCTTGTAAAATTATTTTGGTTTGCTTAGTAGATAGTGCAACGGGTTTTAAGGTTGTGTTTTATGCCAATAGAACTTTTAAAGTTACTGTTTTGAAAAATGTCACTTTTTTTTAAAGCATCATTTAAGTATGACAAATGGCATCTAAATCCATAATTCACTCCACTTGGTATCGAACCAGCAGCAATAAGTTTTGAAGGTGAGCGCTGTAGCCACTGATCTTGTTAAATGTGATACGGTAGGAAGGCTGGGTCCCCGGATTTCTACCCCCGGATATTTACCCCCATGAAAAAACGCCTACGTCACATGTATGGGGGTAGATTTCCGGCCGCAAACTTTTAGGATGGATAAATTATTGTATATTCAATCAACTCGCATTTCACGGTTTACTTAACAGTTGTAATTAATCAAAATGCTAATAAACCTGACACCGGAACTTTACCCCCGGAAATCTACCCCCAGACATCCACCCCCGGACATCTACCCCCGGACATTTACCCCCAGACATCTACCCCCGGAAATCTACCCCCAGACATCTACCCCCGGGCATCTACCCCCGAACATCTGCCCCCGGACATTTACCCCCAGACATCTACCCCCGGATATCTACCCCCGGAAATATACCCCCAGAAATGTACCCCCAGTGGTCAAATCATAAATGTCCGACCCCGGAATTATTTATTTCCGACCCCCAGAAATCTACCCCCGTGCAACACTACGTATCGGTCAATATTCATTGTTGTAGTTGATTTTAGTAATTGGTTTATAAAAATAATCAATGGCTCTTCGTTTAATAATTACTCTCTAATATCTAGTATTAAGCATGTGATATGTCGTTTTCTTGTTTAATGTCATCTATCTTCCCAATTCATTAAGCTGTTACTGATTTAGGTGTAATTTTTAAGCTTAAGATTCAGTGCAACGCAAATGGTAATTAAAAAGGATATTTTGATAAAGGGCTCCAAAAGTGTAACCCATAAGCATTTGATTTATTTTCAGACAGTGGTTTAAATTGTTAACCAATTTTCACATACATTCATAGCTAACGGCACATGCACGAGCGCAGATCGTGAAATTTAAAACACATTACTGAAGGAGGTTATTTTCTGATTACTAGTGGTAAAAATGCAATTAAATGTTGATAAAAAGCCTGCCACAGGTTGATTAATGAATTAATAATTTTTTCACTATCAATTACCTCCTAGTAATAAGTAGTAATTACCTCCTATGTCGTAGACACTATCCGGAGTTTTACATTGGCTAAAAAGTCTGGTTGTTTACACATATAATTAATCGTAAAAAATAAAACATAAACATATTTTATGATTGGTTTTGGTTGTCAATGCTGGTTGTGAAATAACGGAGAATAATGTAAAAGAATAAAATTGGATATTTCGGGATAGTGAAGGTATTTTTACCTCATGGTTCTTTTGGTTTTACGAATTTATTTTAATGAAATTAGAGTTTAGTATGAACATTGCTTAAAATTATTTATTTTTGTCATTTTTACGTTTCATACATTAAAAAAGCCAAAACAAGTCTTTATCTCAATTTCTGTCTTGTCTGTCAAGGCCCAGAAGGCATTTTACGTGGCCTTCTTCTCAAAAACTAGAGCATCGATCGTGATTCGATTTAAATAGTCTTTTTGGATTCGGTGGATTGACACGAGTAACTTAAGCCATTAAAATATGGCCTCACTACTTTTGAATTAAAATAAATTTGGTTCAAACCCCCAATTTTTTGCATTTTTGTCAAGTTTAGGCTACTCCTAATGTTTACCAGTAATTAATGAAATACTAATAATTTGTTTGGAGAATACGACATCAATGAAATAACGAACAGCTGTGAAAGATGAAAAGCTGGATAAAGATGATTTTTTCTAGCTGTCACTGGAAATTTTACAAATACTGCAACCATTTCCGATCATGTTTTGTAATAAAATCCAAAACCAAGTAAGATTAAAAACGTTGTGACTCATGTAAATAAACGGATCAAATAAATCGTAAGTGCAATAATATGTATTTAGTGTACATGTTGCTCGAATTCGAGCAATTGCAAAAAAAGGAGTTATTTCAAAATGAATAACAATGAATATTTACAATGAGTTTAAATGAGTCAACTCAAAGATTACCGGTGTGTAACTAAAACCATGTTTATCTTCGTTATTGATAAACCTAAAGCATTCATCCGGCGGGTTTTCTCCTTCTCAAAATGCCTCGCTGTACAGGCAACACAGGTTATTGATAGAGGGCCAATTGAGAACGAAAAGTCGTTTTGGGGTAGTGTTCCATCTCTTGTTTACAGTTGCAGACGATCTATTCTGGTTTTCAACCTGACTTAAAAATGGAACTGATTAGTAATCTGCTCACATTTCACCTTTATAACTGTTACTGTATAGTGTGAAAGTTGGTCAACCATTGGAAGCACCTTCTAGGAATAAATCAAAGGCTTAGGGGTCAACCTTTTGAAGCCCTAATCGAAATATCTTTTTTAATTACCATTTTGCTCTGCGCAAGATCTTAAGCATTAAAATGACACCTCAATCGTAACAATCGGCGAAGAAGGTCGGGTGAAAAAAGGACTGTTACAGCTTATTGAATTAGGAAGATAGATAATGTTAAACAAGACAATGACATATCGCATGCTTAATACTGGATATTACAAGACAATGCTTAACCGAAGAGTCGTTGATTTCCGGGGGTAGATGTCCGGGGGTAGATGTCCGGGGGTAGATGTCTGGGGGTAGATTTCCGGGGGTAGATATCCGGGGGTAGATGTCCGGGGGTAGATATCCGGGGGTAGATATCCGGGGGTAAATATCTGGGGGTAGATATCCGGGGGTAGATTTCCGTGCTATGGCAAATCACTTTATAATCAAACAATTACATGTTGATTATTTAATAATATATTGGGGGTAAATTTCCAGTCGCGGGCTGTTTCTCGACAGTGTATAGGCCCCGCCCCTCGTGACGTCAAAATGACGTAGGCGTTTTTTCATGGGGGTAAATATCCGGGGGTAGAAATCCGCTACCCCGGAAGGCTAATGTAGGCTACTGAAGATCAAATAAAAATTCAACTATAGATGAATATGAATAAGTGAGATGTTACACAGCTAGGTTCTGTTCTTGTATCAGACAATAACCCACTTAATGAATCATCAGTTACTGTCGTTAGTGGTTCTGCTGATTGATAACCATCGTAATTGCTTACAGGTTTACAACTCATTAAAACAACTAAGCCTACTTATTTTAGGGACTTTGTGCTACACCTTTTCCCGCCCTCTTTCTAAACTCACGGCCACTTGGTTTTTTTATCATTCTGTGATTTTACAGATCTTGTCGAACATAAATAAAAGCATAAGGGAAAACTCGTCAAAAAATTTTGTTCACTAGCCAACTGACAATATGTTTTTCATCCGATTGAACAAAAGGAACTGACATTGGTGAATAATGGAAAAATAAAATTAATAATTAATTACAAATACAGATAAAGCGGAACAATTAGTGACATGTGTAAGCAGTGGCAGTCATGAGTGGGAACCGAGAGTGATGAAGATTCTACGGTCGCACGATTTAAAATATTTTCTGTTGATTGCGCCCCCAACAAAACAAAAAAAAACGCATTTATTGACACGGTGCTGTACTGTGGGACACAATTGAAAATCCTCACCTGAAACAGGGTAACAATGCAAATATTGTCACAAGGTTTGTGTTTCAGCTGTACACGAGAAGATCTTCATTGTGTTCATGTTGTGCTCTCTGACACACATGTTGGTGACGTTGAAAGTCAGCCAGTTGGCGCACCCAGACATGTCGGAGAACCAACAGACGTCGTACCTTATCAAGAAGGTTTTGTTTGTCACTTCTATTCTCTCAACCGTAGGACTGCTTGTATTTTTCGCAAAACACCGTTTGCTGTGTCATGATATGGGTAAGTTTTTATTATAGTTTCGCTTTAGGTTACTTGGAAATTTTAAACTTCTAAAATCTCATTGATTTGGGTCTATTTAAATACTGTGACTTTTTGGTTTATTATTCATTTAGTTTTGTATAGATATTATATTATAGTAGCCTAATATATTTGTTTACATTCACGATCTAATTAATTGCCCTAGAATTGATTACAATTCATGTCAAAGCTTTGTCATCATTCAGTGTCTAAGTAAAGAAAGCATTAAAATAATAAGATAAGATTAATAAGATTTTTACCCCGAGGATTTTGTCATGTTATTGAAGATCATAAATCAAATAAATAGGTCTAGTTATGTATTAAACATAAGTAAATTTGATTAGGAAAACTTATATAAGAATACAGACTTCCATTCCCACCCTTATCCCGGGAATAAAATATAATTGTATCCCGTGCAGGTCTAAAACACCGGAAATTCACATTGGAAAATTATAATTTTGGAAAATAAGGTAGTTAAAGAAAATGTTATAAGATTGAGAGCCGTAGTATCTCTGTCGTGGTCAGTTTTTTTTTAAATCAGTTAATAAATTAATAGTGCAAATCATGTAAATTTACAGTTTATAAACTATAACGGTGCAAAAATTTGTTGGCGAAGGGATGAAAATGAAGCCTACCTTCTCGAATATGGAATGGAGAGAAAGTATTAATGTAAATGCAGCCTATTTTCTTGATTCCATTTGAACTATACATCCCTGGTTGTTTCAGCATTCAGCTGGTTCGCGCTGTGTGAGTACGTCATAGCCTCCGCCAACATGGCTTTCCACATCACGGTGGTTCTCGACTTCCCCACCGAGGAGCTCGTAGTTGCCAAGGACTTCGGTTTATACTTCACGTCCAGCCCTTCGCCCAAGCATCGCCAAACCAACAATGTGAAAGCCGACTAACGCTATGTTCGTTGATTTTGAGGTACTGCATCATGCGTGCATCCAGGGTTCTCAATATTTGAGGTTAGGATTAGGCATAAGTTGATAATTTGTTAATTATCCGAAGAAGAACAAAATCTGGATGACACAGGGTTTTAAGGATTTTTTTAGGACATGAGTTAAGGCTGGTTAGCAGTTAAGTTGCTAACCTTAGAAAAATCCCTAAAGCGTAAGCCCTTGTGGTCTTTGACAGATCCAACCTTAAAGTAAAATACAACAGTTAGAGATAATAATTGGAGTCTAAAGCTTCGCTATGTCATCTCGAGGTTGTCCCCTGGCACTGCGGAGTGGGGGAAGCACAATTTTTATTTCAGCTGCTGTTTTTAATACTTACAAAATTATAGCATTCTATTGGCTAAGGGAACACCATTACCGCAACGATACGGTATGCAGCCATCGGCCTCGGTGGTCTGATGGATAACGTGCCGGGCTGAGAAACTGAAGGTACCAGGTTCGAATACTACCGGTAGCACTAACTTTTTGTCTAAGATTTTTGCATTATCAGCAAGTTTGGTTAGGTTATTACAGTTTAATTTTATAATTAAGAAATTATATAGGTAATTAAATTTGAGGCATTTATAATTTTATTTTTATGAACAGAACTATTTTTTCGATTAGTAAACCTTCATTCCATTTTTATTTTATATGTTTTTTATATAATCAGCAAGTTTGGTTGGTTAGGTTAGTTTATGACAGTTTAATTTTATAATTACAAATTAAAAAAAAAATAATTTAAAAATTCTAATATTAATTTTATAAATTTTTATTTTTACTCTCATTTTGTCCTTATTGAAAAACTGCAGCATAAGTTATGTATGTAAAACAACGCGGGCTGGTTTGGACGATACCTAGAGGGGAGGTGGAGGGAGAATCATTTCCCCCACTCCGCAGCGCCAAGGGACAACATCGCAATGATACAACGAAGGTCTAGACTCCAGTAGAGATAATAACGCACTGTTTTATTGTTGGTTTTTTACAAGGCGAATAATAAGTCGAAGCATTTTTGAGGAACCTCCTAACAATTTTTCCCCATTTCATGGAAAATATATGTATTGTTAGTTTTTAAGATAAATGGCAACAACTTTTATATGTTGACTAAAAATAATACTCAAAAAAGATACTCAGTTATGCATGTTGTTCTTAAAGGATATCTGGCTTTTAATTTGTTTTAAAATGATATGGGTTTTGTTTCTTCAAATAGGCCTATGACGTGTACTAGAACTTTTTCTTGGAATACAAGATTTAAGAAAAAAGGAATTTTGATTACCACAAAATTATTGGCAATGATTGAGTCATACTTTTACAATCACTCAATATTGCCTTTTATTTTTTCTGTGATATTAGTAGCTATTATGATTTGATCTTTTTTTTTTTGTATTATTTAGTATTAACATACAAACATGTTTATTATTTTTATAACTTTTTGCTGGTTTAGTTAATTTTTATTTTTTGTTATTTTTTAAAGATCCAATGAAAAGTAGCCTAAAAATTTGAGAACCCTCGATTCAAGGTAAACTTTTAGAAAAAATGTTTATTTATTTGTTATATTATTTTTGCCAATGTTACCAAGGCATAATTTTTATACAATTGTTCGTAAAGTGTAAAAAATTAATCCACCATAAGGCCTGTGGGCTAATATAATTCAGTTTAAAAAGCTGATGTAAGTTATTCTATAAATATCTCCATTTTTACAGAGAATGGAATAATTATTTATCTTTGACAGCCAAAAGTATTAAATGTGCAATATTTATATTTAATTTATTAAAAATATATTTATTCCTCTTTGTGGTGTCCTTTGGCCTGACAATGGATGTAATCTCTATTTGTTAATATTTCCTAATTTATCTGTAGTTTTATCCGAATTACTTAATTAAAATAAATAAATGTATTTATTGGTTATACGTAGTAACCTACCTACAGTAGAGAGTTGAAAATCTGAACGTCAAAAATCCAAACTGCCCCTGAGAGTTTTAAAATATTGAATTAGCACAGAGACAACAGATGTTTTACAATTTCATGCGCCAAACAGTCGGCGCTCGGCAGGGAAACAAGTGAACAGGCCGAGCTAGTCTGTTTTTTGTTGTTTCCAATGTACATATGTTTTCAAGAAACAAACTACAGTAATGTAACGAAAATATCTTAGTACAAAAATCATTGTTTCATTTCCATTCTAGGTAATCTGAACTACCTACGGTCCCAATTGGTTCAGATTTTTGACTCTCTACTGTATAAGTTTCTTTAGTCAAAAAAAGTTAAACTCATTATTTTAGATAGGATGTGTTTATTGAAAAACTAAATATTATTATAAGCCAGTGATTGTTTTTGTATTTATTTTAATTTTATTTATGTCGGACAGGATTGAGAATGGGCTTTATTTATTATTTTTGTACCAACTCTTTTTTAGTTTGTAAAGTTGGCATCTCGTTTTTAAAAATTGTGCTTACAACTAATAAAAAAAATGTACTAAACTACCTTTGTGTGCTTGAGCGTTAATTGTTTAACAAATCTACAATATTCTGTCTTTATACTCCGTATAACCAATAACTACCTTAGATGTTCCTAGACAATCTATTTCTAGTCATTTTACTATTTGATGTGTTTATTATTCTATATGTTGTGTAATATTTTAACTCCGTTTTAAGTTATAGAAATCTGAGCAAGTTTATTTGAGAGATGTGATATGAGTACCAAACAATACATAATCATTTAGATTTAAAGATGCTCAGTGCCTATTTAAGAGAGCAAGTTAATGGTTTAGCGTCACTACTTCCCCTCTATCAGCTTCTAGACGCCTTCTATTTAGGTCCCGCCTTTCTAGTCAGGCTTCAAGTTCCTCGATGTTCGATCGATCGATTCTACGGTTCCGCCTCATACGTACTTACTCTAGTAGCGATTAGTGGAACCTTAAATACTCGGCTATTGGCTTCTGATGTAAATACCTGTATTTAAACTACGAGATCGGAAATAGTTATTGATTGTGGTTATAAAGTGCCTGTTACTTTTCATGTTTCGTGTTGTGGTCGTTTTGGAAATCAGTTGCTATTTTATTTTGCTAGTTTATCGTTTACGTTCCCAATGAATGTGGGTGGGGACTCAAATTTAAGTTCACGATTTAATTACTTCATAATATATGCATCCTTAAAATACAACCTAAGCTAAAATCAATACAGCAGAACCCCGGTTAACCGAATTCAGGTTAACCGAAATGGTTCCATAAAATAATACAGGTCTAATATTACTAACTATGTAACTTCAGTCGTTCAGTTTAAAACATTTTTTAACCCATTGTAACATTTTTGTGGCTGAAATAAAACACTATTATATAGACATTGTTTTAAATTCATTTTTCCTACACACCGTGGTAATACATAGGCTAGGAGCAGATGACGGGTTAACCGGAAAATTGGTTATTCGAAACGGCTCTTCCCCCTTTACGTTGGATAACCGGGATTCTACTGTAACTGATAAATTTAGCATCTTTCTAAATCTTAAAATAATATTCGAAGCGGGAGAGAAAGTTCTGTATATTAAACTCTTCAGTAAATGTGATAAAACAATTTTTTAATAGTTTAAAAATTTTTTTTAACATTTTTACTGGTTAACATAACATAGCAACTGGTTTCCGTTAAATGTGAAGTTTCAAATAAATAGCTCACAATTCCAATTTTGTAGATTTAACTTTCAAATGTTTTGTTGTTGTTTATGTAGTTTTAAATAATTTCTAGGAATACAAGCAATATTGTACTAACTGATTGATAGATGTAGGTACCATTAGCATTATAACCATTTAGTATTAAAACCTTACACGGATTATTTGCTCTCAGCTTTTTAATTTGCATGTACACTTTAGTTTACAGCCGATTAATTTGACATATCATACATATTTTTGTGAATAAACTGTTTTTTGTTATACTCAATAATGAAGGTTACTAAATGATGCAGTCAATTCAAAAACTAATATAGATTTTACTCTCGTTTTTTATCCTTCTATTTTGTACCCAGTGCTGATTATCTTTTTTTTCCTTCTATAATTATTTAAAAAAAATATTATTTTCAAATGGCTATCAGAAGTGCTGGATATGATGGTATGGTAGTTTTGATTTGATATCTTGCAGTTGAATCATAATTTTTTTAGATGTTTTGGTTTTTTTCTCTAAATTAAATTGTTTGGTTGTTGTAAATTCATTTGATAAATATAAGACATACAACTAGGTTGTATTTTTAGCAAAAGCAATGTGGGTGGTGTATTTTTTTCAATGGTAAGGAGCTCAGATAGTTTACCATAGAAAATTTAGAGTCTGGGGTTTGTCACTAACAAAACTTCTTCCTGAATAAGTTATGTAACAGCCATGACCTAACGCTATATGGCCTTTAGTGTATCTATAAGCCCTTGGATTTGAATTTTCTCAGGCACCTATCTGAACTGAATTGCATTACATATACTCATTGTTTGTAATTTTTGTACCAGTTTCAAATAATTTTCTACCAAACATGTTCAATTTGTCTGTTTTTATTTCAGCATGGCTTTTAGGCATTTTTCAGAGCACTTAGAGCCAAATAACTTAATATTACATGTTTAACATAATCAAAACATAACATTTAAATTTTAGTGCTCTGAAAAATTGTTTCTGCACTCGTTTTTACTTAGATGTGCACAAGATCATTTGCTCATGCAAAATTAGGTAAGGAATCGTGTCAGGCGGTTTGATGTATGTAGATGAATTTCGACCCCATTGTATAAATCCTAACCTGTTTTTGAACTTTCACTAATTATCGTTTACAAATAGCTACTTTTAGTCAGTTTATTTGATGTAAAACGTTATAATATTCTAGATTAATAAGTCAACCTTTACTAGGCCTACTCAATATTATCTACATTATTTTTAACCTGGAAAACATTAACTCATTATTATTTTATTCTTATATGGTAATATGTTTATGGTTTACTATTGCATGTTATTTATACGGCAAAAAATCTCTATAGAATATCATTCTTGTACTTAAACTTAATTCAAATGTTTGTATTCAAATTTAAATTCATTTTCAATTTAGATGTAATAAATGTTTAAACGGATTACAACTGGAGGGGATCGATGTACAAAATAAATTGTAATCGTAGCACCCAATATGAGATCTTCCTAGTTATAATATTGGTTATGCAAAGCCAGGTGAAGTCCGAACTTAAAAAATGTTATTCAGGTTTTTAGCCCCAAAAACCAGAACACCTGTTTTGTTTTTAATTTCGGGCTTCACCCGATTCCGCAAAACCTCTACATATAGTTAGAAGCTGTGTTACGTGCATGTTTTGGCCAGCTGTGATTTTGGACATAGTTGTACATGCAAATTTTAAATTTTGTAAACTAAAACAATAAAGGTCTTATACAATACCAGAATTGTTGTTCCTGTTTGATACTTGCTTCTCCCACAAAGTCTAAGTACAGTGTAGACTCCCTCTTATCCGGTTAAACTGATGTCCCTAAAAACTCGTTGTTTTGAAAAAACGGACCGTTTACTGTGATATTCTACTTAAATTTAGGAGAGCATTGTATTTAGACACGTGATCACTCGTCTCAAATCTTTCCCACGAGAACAGTCGTTTTAGTACCGCACACTTCCTGACGATCTAGTCCGGTTAAACCAATGTGCTGATAAAAATTTTCCGGTTAAAGAGATGTCATTTCCGCTGAGTGCAGTCTGGTTAAACCGACATCCGGTTAAAAGGTGTCCGGATAAGAAGGAGTCTACTCTAGTTATATATGACTGTTGCAAATATCTGTTTTTTTAGAGATTTTTAAATACAATTACAAATAGAGACTTTTTTATTGATTCTCTGCAAAATATGTTATACTAAAGCATTCTCTTAAATTTTGATAAAATTTTTTTTTACTTGACGTAGAACCTTGCTAATTTGAACCTCGATGATTCGAAGACCTCTATAATTAGTAATGTTTGTCTGTTCCCCTCAGAAAACATCTAAAATCTGAAAAATACTATACCGATAATTCAAAGTGATTTTTACGCTTAATGCAGCCTCTACAATTTGAACTGCATTACCAGCCTCTGTAATTCAAATTTAGAACACAAAATATGCCTGTTGAAATTTCTCAAACTCTCTAAACTTAAATCTGGGACCTCCATAATTTGAATTTTATTTACTCTGACCTCTATAATTCAAACTCTCTATGTTTCAAACTTCCAATAATTCTAAATACAGTATATTGTCTTTCCTCTGAAATTCGAATTAACGCGGTTCTACTGTATTATCTTTGGCACTCAATAACTGGAAAAGAGAAAAGGAGAATGGTGTTAAAACGCACGATGGAAGTTTATGTTTTTGATTCAAACTTTGTAAATAATTACTTTTAAACTTCAAGCCCATTCACTGTGTAATGTATTGAAAACATATTCCTATACTCCTAGTTGATTTTCTTGAAACTAAGGGCGGGTTTCTGAGTCAGGTATTAGCGCTAGTCTTAGACTAAAGCTCATTTTAGTACTGGACTAAGAAAAATATCTTTCTGATTCGAGTACTTATGTCAGCGACTAATCTTAGTCAAGAACTAGTTTTTAATTCTGAACTAAAGAAATTATGCTTTAGTCCACGGACTAAAACGTGCTAGATTTTAATCCTGCATATGGGTAGGATTAATTTTAGTCGTCCACTTTAACCTAAGCCATTTTTGTGAGTTAAAGTTGAAGGTGATTATGGATTACATTGATTAAACTTATCATGATTTTTACCGTTTTCGTGGGCCGCGAATTCGTCGTGAGTGGGAAAAAAATCCATTTAGACTTAAGTGAGGATGAATTCAAGGATAGGTATAGATTTTCAAAAAACTCTGTGAGATAATAAAATAGAAGAGAATAAAATAAAAATACTAAATAGAGTTTTAAATAGTTTGTAAATAGATTTGTAAATAGTTTCGGGTTTTATCTTGTGCAGACCTCATCCAGAGACCTTTTTCTCCTAAAAGTTGTAATATTTCATTTCATACATTCATCATTTAGTATTAAGTTCCTTAAAATATGTTAATTTTGTTCATACACCACTTTATAATTTTCTTGTCTTAAATCACTCATCAGAAAGTCATCCAGATCTATAATGATAGGGCTGGCCTAGTATTCATTTAACTTATTTAAAATAAATAGGATGAAACACCAATCCTACCTTTAAAATTTTACGATACAACTAGTTTATAACAATAATAAAATATATTACAATGATAAATGAATTAAACCAGAAATAACCTCAAAACCAAGGTTTGACTAAGATCGTTGTTTGTTTACAATTTCAGAGCAGTGGGCACATCAAACTGACAGTGTTGCCAGCACGGCGGCACAAATTACCCTACATTTCCCTTGAAAATCATGAGCTCTTTTAATCTCTGACTAAACTAAGTACCCGCGTTAAATTAAAATTAGTACGTGTGTCCTTAATCCTTGACTCAGAAAGTGAATTTTTAGTACATGACTAATTTTAATCCATGACTAGCCTAGTTCTGGACTTATAAATCCCTGACTCAGAAACCCGCCCTAAAAGTATAAATAAACTTCCAGAAATAACATAATGGATAAACTAATAAACCCCTTGACTTAAAAATTATTTTTTAATTTCCTTATCGTCCATTTTTTATAGGTTATATTGATTGCAAAATATGCTTTTTAAATCAATACTTTCATACAGTACCTTCTCGATTAACTTTTATTTTAAGAGGTTGCCTCTTTTTAACCTTGCATTTGCCCGTCTGTATATTTAGGCCTAAAACGGCCTGCCATAATCTGAGGACTAGGAGGGGTTTGAATGATCGAGAGTGTACTGTATTGCCTTTTTAAATTATACGTCTATGTTACTAAAAATAAAGCCAAAAAGAAACACAAAATCTGCGTCCTTTTCCTCCAAAGAAGTGCATGAAGCAGAACAGGTGTGCTGTCAACTTCCACCCAAGCCAAACACTGTTTTAGCAACATTTAAGGTAGGCCCTCGCACCAGCTCAGTATAGGTTGCACATGTACAAGAATCATACCCACACGGAGAATGACCTCGGAGCCCCACTCGTCAGTGCATACGTTAGTTGCTTCAACCGCCATTTGCTGGAGGGGACGAGTGTCAATAGAGTATAAATCCGACACTAACGCTCGCAGGTGAGATTCAATAAATTACTTAAGCGCCAGTAGGTTACCGGTATCAGTTTTTCCCCCGCCGTAAAATTTGATGACACACTAGGTAGGCTATAATACGTTGAAGGGTTACAATGTAATTGTAAAATATTTGTTTATTTGGGGAAAACTCAGGACCACATCATCCTTTCTTACAATTAACCACATTAATACAAAAAGTATTAAAAAATATTAAAATAACAAACAGCAACAAAAAATACTTATAATAATTATAAAACAAAAGCTTATAAAAAGCAGCATGACTGTATGAATAAATTAAAATGCAGTTGACTAACTTAAATAATAACACATCAAATATGAAAAAGTAAACAATTTAAAAAAATAACACCCTCCCCAACAATCATTCACCCCCCATTATACGCAGGCCTATTGATGCCCTCCCCGTAATCCGCTGTCATACAGTTAAGATAATAACATTTCAGCGCCACCGTCAGCTGGGACCGATTTTCTATTGATTTTATCATCGGATAAGGTAGAGTTCCGTAAACATCAAGCTAAAGTATAAAGTTTGATTAAAGACAAATGTTTTTTGCCGAGTTGACGAACCAGAGCGGGTTTTTACAATACAATACAATATTCTTTATTGTTCATTCATTAAGAATTACAATAGTGTCAATACAATAGTGAATTGTACGTGTTAATTTCCATAAAGTTCCTTTATTCAGTGGAAGGGTCTTGCGATTAGCCACTTCTTCAACTCCTGGTGTAGCTTGTTGCCAGTCAGGTCTTTTCTTATACTTTCCTCATAAAAAAAATCAAAATTGGCGACAAGATAGTACACGATTCCAAGATTGATTACAAGAAAGAGTAACTTTTACAATGTGTACCTCATTCAGGTAGGCCTACCCTTAATTCAGTGAGTTTATGAAGAGAATCTTGAAGTAACAGGGAGTAAGTGATCGTCTCTATGCCCCAGTACCTTTTTGTTAAATCCTCACGATCGTGGTAGATAAACACAAATCTGTAAAATTATAGCATATTTTCATGATTGAATATGTAAAACCATGGAAGATATAAACCGGGTAAAAACAAAAATTATATTTAAAGATTGAAAAAATGTTTATTCTACTTACATATTAACAACTAATCGAAAGTGAAAATTATCTCAGAGTGGTGAATTGCTGACACTGTACGGTGACAAAGTTGCCGATGTCATTTGCGAGAAGAGATCTTGTGTCTACCGGGGAGTGAACCTGTTAACATACATCATCTCACTAGAAGAATACAGCAGTCAAATCATATCTAATAACCCCCAAGAAATGCCCTGTTGAACTAAATCCGTTTCAACTCTTAAAATGGTACAATATTTTAACATGTCTACTTCTCCGCTAGTATATGCATAGCGTACAGTTTTACCTAAAAACATCTACAAACCTTGATCTGACGCATATGCGTGTCTCTACCATTCTGATGATTGCTGATGACAGCTATCTGAATCATAAAGGTTCTGATTGGTCGATCACGAATATCAACAGTTGGAATCTGAACCCATCCCGTTGGTTCATTAAGGTCGATAACTTCTACCTCTTGCAGATCGTTGAAATTCGTTCCTGCTCTTATGGACACCCTGTAAACAGGTACAATGTTTGTAGACGATAGATCAGATTTCAGATATGTGAGCTACTATATAAATTAAAAATATTTTTTATGGCTAGACTCTTAAACTTGTGAACTTCCAGCTTTAGTCATACAAAAAAGTATATGAACATATGTCCAAATATGAAATATAGTAATATCGTGAAAAAATATGCCATATTGATGAATTTTGCAAAGTAAAAGAAAAACTTCAAAGTTGGTAACAATTATTTCTCTTGCTGGGATATAAAGTTGACGACTAACCTACATATCTTTTAACTATATTTTCTTTTAAATAGCGAAAGTGTCTATCAAATCAAATCAAAATATCTTTATTCGCCATCTGTACATGCTTGGTACATTGAATAGTGTCAATGAATAGCCTATATTACATTTAAAATATTTGTAACATAGGCCCTAAAATTAAAAATGTAATAAAATAAAATTAATAGTACAAATTCTTAAAATATCAAACAGAACTTAAGTCACAGACAATGGTTTTAAACATCAGCACTAAATGGACTAAATTAAATTAAACTAACTAACCAGCACCTCTATAAAAATTATCTAGTGAGTAAACAGCCCTTTCAGTCAAGAAACTTTTAAATGCACGTTTGAATGAATTTAAATTGTTGTTATTTTTAATATAACTTGGTACGTATTTCAACAATTTGGATCCATTATAGGTTGTTTTCTTTTCAAAATATTTTAATCGATGTTGATCAGTCTGGATTTCATTCCCACTTCTTGTATTGTAAGAGTGTGTTTGATTGTTTCAAGTATCTTTTTCAGGATTGGATTTTACGTAGATGATTAAATCATAAATGTACTGTCCATAAACTGTTAAAATTTTTAGGCCTTTAAAGTGTTCTACAACAGATTCATCTTTTTGCAATTTCAACATCTTTCTGATAGCTTTTTTTTGGCTTCTTAAAATCATATCTAAAGAAGTTATGTTTGCAGAACCATAGATGCATAAACCGAATGATGTGCGTGAATGGATGAATGAAAAATAAACTACCCTTGAAGTTTCAGTATTACAAATTCCTGACATTTTTGAAAGAGCATGTATCCCTGAATTGATTTTGGAAAGTACTCCTTTTATGTGATCATCATGTGATCAGACAGGCTTTCTTCAATTGCCAAAACTTATGTTTAACATATAGTAAAACCCTTTCTTACCGTACGTTATAAAACCAAACCATAACAAAATTCTAATTGGAAAATTAGCTACGCAACGTGAACTGAACATGAACAGTGGGTATCGGCACAGCTTGGCCTGTAATAGAGCAGTTACGCACATGTCTCTCATATTGTTAACAAGATAGTTCAGACAATAATATTGTCGATACAAAAAATTTTAATGTGGCAGCAATTAAATAACAAAAAAACCACCAACTATTAAAGCTGCATATCTATTAAATTTTAACTATAAAAAAATTGGTTTTCCAAAACAGTCTTGCTCTCTTTATACGTTTAATTAGTGTTTTACTGTACATTAACTTTCTGCATATAGTAAATTCAATGCTCAAAACGTGAAGCTTAATTTACACAAACAGGATTTACTTATGCTGATAAATTATCCATTCATTAGCTGCTGATCTCCATCACATAGGCATACTCCTCTACTCTAATTCTGTTACTCACCTGCTTGGAGTATAGCTCTCGTCCAGTTTATAGTCCGTGTAGATGCAGATGTCTGAAACAGTGGTTTTCTGACGGAACTGTATATTGACCAGGTGAGGCAACTGCCCGTCCGACTGCCAATACGTGTCCATGCAGTCGTCCCTCAACTGGTCCACTCCGAATCCTGTTGGCGATAAACGTCCAATTACTAGTGTTATATAAAATTTAAGCAGCATACTTTTTATAGAATTTCATCAGTGGAACAGATTGTACAGTACAGTTTTTGTTGAGAATATTGTTTATGACAACTTTCTTGATCCGGTTTAACCCTCCAAGTGTCTCTAGTTTTGGTCTTAATGTTCGCCCATTTATTGCGCAATCGCAGGGTTTTATTAAAATGTATCTTAGAAACTTAAAAACAATGTAAATGTATAATTTATAGGTCTACAAATATTTTTAAATAGCCACTTTGTTCAGAATTTTATGAGGATTCCAAAAATATAATAATATAAGGAAGTAGATTTGCAAATAAATAAGTTATGGGCAAAAAACAGATTCCGGTACATAGTGTTTAGCTAAGAATGCATAGCCTAACCATAGCTAGGAATCTGGCTGATAATTTACATCAATATCACTATCTACTTCTTCAGGATCATCAACCAGCCCTTCAAAATCACTTAAATCTTCTTATAATGCACCACGTATATCACTACTGTTGATTTTTAACACTAAAACAATGATAAACATAATAAAACACATCAGTCATCGGTGCAAGGTTAACCAAGCTGTTTACAAATACGCACGTCAGCTGTCTGCTACAATTATGATCGGCTCGAGAAAAAAAAGCGCTTAGAGACAGACCTTGGGAGAAAGCTTAGAATCTGCCAAAAAAAAACTATACCTAACTCAATCCAGGTCAATCCGATTTTGTCAGTCATAGAGCCTTCACCGTAAACAGTGTTTGTGAGTCGCAAAAGCGACACAAAACACTACACAAAGTGTGTTATGAGTCGCTTTTACGACACATAACACTCGGAGGGTTAACTGAATTCCAACCCTGGTATCAGAAGTTTCTTTGAGGACTTTCCCAATGCAACCCACGAATGTAGAAACATACAATAATAATAAAGGGCTGCTTCTAACTACTAATGATTAGGCTACTTTGCACTAAGTAGCATATTGAGATTTGACTTACCGTACATCACAAACCACACATCTCTATTACTTCGTTCACAATCTTTAGACAGTTTAAGGGGAACAAATCTACTCCCTCCTCTTGAACCTAACCTTTAAAATCATTGCTCAACAGTTAATTAAGCAAAATAAAAAACAAGTGGAGGGGAATCTTCCCCTCGAACCGCATATTGTTAACAAAGTAAAACATAAGTCTCAGCTTCTTAGAATGGTTCCAAACATTTTCCTCCATTGTAAACTAATGTGCCTACTTGAAACTAATTTTAATCCCAACCATAATACACTACATCCAATTAAAACTCCAAATTTTAAATCCAACCACATCCTGGAAATAACATTTATTTCTTCAGTGTAGTACAGGGTTGCCACCTTGGGTTCAGGAAAAATTGGGAGCCCCCTCCATCCGGATTAACGTAGCTCTAAACACGGGCACAAGGGGCCAAACTTGGGACAGTCCCGGCAGAATCGAGACAAAATCGAGCAACCCTGGTGTAATGGGGCTGGAACGACAACTTAACTTTTTTTTCAAGAATATTAAAAAGATTTTTAATATATAAGCTTTTAAGCTCTTAAGCTTTTCTAACTGAATGACGTCAGCAGGACCAGACTGTACCTCAGCTTATTTCAGAATCAATTTTACACATTTTCAATATTGCAACTTTTTTTTTTTTTTTTACTGTTCAGTATAGGTTACCTCTGTTTGATAATAACATTTCACTACAATTACCTGGTTTGCATGATGATAGACTCCAAATAGCTTGAGCGCCGACTTCCCGAACCTTTCCTGCTCGCTCCTCTTTAATTGGATCTGTTTCCCCACCAGCCTTAGCAGTCATTTTTATTTCATCTGGAAAATATTCAGCAAATATTAAGGTTTATCGTGAAATCATCTAACAAACAAGTACCATTTTACTAAAATTTACAGTAGACCAAATATTTCTTCATCTTGGTAACATAAGATACACATCAACTTTATTACCCTATTCATTCATTTTATCTATTCCCATACAGATTCCACTCCTCTGTCCATATTTCACAGTTATACACAAAATAGTCACTCTTATCTGGACACCTTTTAACCGCACTACATTCGGCAGAAATGACATCTCTTCAACCGGACGATTGACATCAGCAGTTCAGTTTAACTAGGCTGGATTGAAGTGGGCTGCTTTTTTCGAGGGAAATATTTGAGACCAGTCTAAATACGGCTCTCCCAAATTCGAGTAAAATATTTTGATCTTTGACTTTCAATAAGAATTACCATTATCTTATCAGGGTTTTGTAAAACCTACCATAAATCTCAATTGCCAGTAGGTCTACTTGAAGTGGCCAATAAATAATTTACAACACTCTGAGACAGTTTTGCTAATTCAGTAAGCGTTTTATGAGTACCAATGTTAAGTTTTTTTAACTTTACCTAACTTATTTAAGTTTAATGATCTGCTTACCTACATTTTTATCGATGTTTAACAAATAAAACTATCAATGTTCAATCAAAATCAAAATATATTTTATTAACGTTAACAAAACAAAACAAAAAATAGGTGTAGCTAAAAACAGCAATCATTCATAAACAAATTAAAAACAAACAAAAACCCTGCAGGTATTTCATATGGTAAAAAGAAATTTAATGTGATATTAATATCAAATTGAATAAAAATCTATAGGTCTACACATCGATATCAAACTGTACCTCTGTAATCTCTTCCACCCTTACATTTCCCTGTACAGTAGTAAGTAGGCCTAACTTATAGTGCGAGATCACTAAAATCTCAGGCATCACCAAAGAGTTCAAAAAGCTATTTCTCGCGGATAAGGACTACTACAGTGTCCACGTAATTCTCGTTGAGGGACAGAGCTCTTGAATTGTATTATAAAAAAACATGTTAAAGTTAACAGTTAGTCTTAACGTTGACTTGGCTAATGCATGTAGGTATATTGTCAATCTGGCTAATTAAATTAGTTATTGAGTTTTAAAATATATCTATCCACTTAAGTGAGCTGTTTGTGAAACCTTGAAAAATACAGATTGTACTGTACAGGGAGAGAAGGTGAGACTTAGGTGATGGAACACCGTACAACGTTGAGCTAACACTCACTAGCCCAACTGGATTTTATTTTAGTCCTAAAACAACCCGCTATCTGACATCTGCCACACGTTACAAACACAAAACAAAATTCAATTCTTAATTTTGTTAAACATGCTACTAAGTTATACGACTGTTATAAACAATTGTTGTGCACGACCTCAGGATGAAAGCAATTGGTCAGATCAGCTCAATATTATATCTGGTTTAGCTTAAATAACTTGTTTGTAAACATTGCCAAAACTCAAATGATCGAATTTCATATCAGAAACAAAGAAAACACGGCACCCCTGGCAATTTCCATAGACAACAAGTTTCATTTCATTCCGTCCTGTTCAGAAACTAAGTTCCTGGGCGTTCACATCGACAGCCAGTTGAAATTCACACCCCACGTAGATTATGTTTGTAATAAATTGAGTTCTAATATATTCTTATTAAGAAATTTGGCAACATTTTTGGACTCTAAAGTTCTAGTGGTGGCTTACTACGGACTGGTTTTTCCTTTTCTTTCATATGCAGTTGCAGTTTGGGGACATGAGTGTATAAATTCTAAAAGAGTTTTTAAACTACAAAAGAAAACCATCAGAACAGTTTTTGAGAAGCGTTGTAAATTTTCCTGTAAAACACTTTTTGCTAACTAACTTATAAATTCTTACTTTTCCGTCCATCTATATCTTAAACTGTCTTGTATTTGTTAAGAAAAATATATATCTTTTTAAAAATCTGTCTCACCCTATCTCCTATAGTTTGAGAAGCCGGTCCAATTTAGACATTCCAAAAACACAAAACTGCTTTTTTTGAAAATCATTTACAGTAGAACCCCTCATATCCGGCCGCCACAGGACCAAGCCCCTGGCCGGATAACGATTTGGCCGGATAAACCAACCTACTATGAAAATGACAATTCATACCTAATAATAATAGGTAATCAATATATGCAATCAAAAGTATCATTTAATTCTGTTCTCGGATTATTTTTAGAAAAATTTAAACATATGATTGTAATAAAGGAAAAAATATTTGTAGGTTAAAGTCATTAAGTAATAAATGTACAAATATTATGATTCAAGGTAACAAAACATATTAAATGGAGGTAAAAATGACAATAACTTGTACTTAAAGATCATTAGGACTTAAATGGTACTTGCATTTCTACTCAACATTCTTAACCATTTTGTGAAATGCAAAAATGAATGTACTCATACTGTATTGTTGATATTACAAACCTATCTAAATGTAGCCTAGTACTTCCAGACCTAGTAACTTCTTAGACGTAATTTTTAGTGAAAGTCTTAAAACAAACATAGGCCAACAAAATTGACAACATCTATCTATATATTAATAGGCAAGCTTGTTTCTTTAAAACCTTTTTTCTCAGCTTGTGTGCATCGCAGGTACAATCTACGGATAGGTCTACTGATAGAAAGATATTTTCCTGTAGAAGTGCAGAATCCCTTTAAAAACTCAAATACAGTAGACTCCCTCTTATCCGGACACCTTCTAATCGGACAATACTCCACAGAAATGACATCTCTTAAACCGGACAATTTTTATCAGCGCATTGGTTTAACCGGACTAAATCAACAGGAATTTGGCGGTACTGTGGGAAAGATTTGAGACCAGTGATCACATGTTTAAATACAATGCTCTCCTAAATTTAGGCCTAAGTCTACATTAATAACACCGTAAACGGTCCGTTTTAATGAGTTTTTGGGGACGTCGGCTTAACCGGATAAAACGTTATCCGGACTGGCCTTGGTCCCAAGGAGTCCGGATAAGAGGGAGTCTACTGTAAGCTCAAATATGCACGAAAAATGAATTTGAAATTTTAAAAAATTTGCATGGGCTTTATAGGTTGCCATGCTGGTGACGAAATAATAACAAAATATAAACACAAAATCAAAACAAATGGAAGAAATTGCAATCATATGTTTTATTTACAGCGTGGGATGAAAATAGAGAAGCCTGTCCATCTGACTTACAACTACGACAAGCCATCCCCATGTTAAAAATGCCAGTTTTTTTATAAAGTCATCATAGTTGATGTGAGCCACCAACAGATTGCGCTGATCTAAAACTTACAGAATGACTTATTATGAGCTAGGCTATAGCAACTGTTATGACCCATCAACTTTGTCATTAACTAAAAATAAGATAACTTAGAAAATATAATTTTAGACACGCATAGGCCTACTGTGACTGGTTCACACAACTACTTGTTTTTAATAAAACAATTGCGACAACTGGTCCATATCTTATAACTTAGATGGAATATTTACTTTAGTATCCAAAGATATTCAATCCGGGTACATTACATATTTTTGGTCGAGTTTTCGACCACTAGTTAGATTTATTACTCACCTAACAAATCAAACACAGTGAAGAGCGCACTCGTAAACAAAACATTGAATTCGATTCAAATAAATAAATAACACAAAACAAACATAACCTCTAAGTTACTAAGTTGTTTAGTTGTTTATGGTTTACTCTACTGAGAAAAATCTGAATCTGATTAGAGTGATTCACTCTCTGCACCCAACACAGAATGAAAGCAGTGTTTCCACTACACGCACACCGCCAACGCAAAAGTCCCGCTATCCAGGTCAAGAAATCCCGTTTTATCCCGCAACCTATTTTTAATCCCGTACATAGTCTACAAATCCCGTTTTTAAATAAAAATCCCGCGTTGAAGTTAAAACTACGGAACTGCCACCAATAATATTTTGACAGCACTGAATTACGAGACGTTTGTCGCCATTTGATATGTACTAGGGGAATGTAATTGTACTAAGAAAGGGTCTGAAAACTTACAAACCACCCCGCACTAGCCTATATAGGGAATGAAATGGGATTGAAAGCCATGGACCAAACTGTTTCCCCTCGTTAGTACCAACCTAACAAAATTAAAATTACATGTCTCGATTTTGTAGCTGAGTTGCCGTGCAAGTGGGCAGTGCACCAATTCATGTGTTTTCTGCCTCAGTGATTTTAGCCTAGCATAGCAAGCAAAAGCAGACGACAAACTACACAAAAAAAACAGTTGATTTAAGGTTATGGTTATGGATATGTTGATCATTGAACTTGGATAAATGAGTATTAACTTTTAAGTTTTTTAGAGTTTTATTCATTGTGATTTTTACAATTTAACCGCCGATCAAAAACCCATTATATAATTGTACCATAATGCAAACCAAAAGGTTGGTTGGATGGAGATATGTTGCAACAATAGGAGGTTTTATTGGATTCTTAGGAGTGTTCATCTATCCAATAATTATTTCACCATTGCTTGAACCAGACCACTACAGTAAGTTTAAAGTTTTATGATTTAATAATTCTTGGCTATATATTAACTATAATAATTGGTCACATTTTCATAAAATTTAACCAAAGACCCAGCGATTTGTCAATGGGCTATTAGGCTATGCATTACCCTGGAACTGCCAATTAAATTTCTTCAAATGCCAACACTTTTTTCAGCAATTAACATACATTTTTTTAAAAATTCGTAAAAAATATTATTTGTATGACTTAAGTAATGTATTATACATCATTTTATTCAGAAAATAACAAGGAATACAATGGTAAAATTTATTTTGTAAAATAACAAAAAAAATTTTTACACACCATATTTTTTTTTATACACAAATTTTATAAAAAAATCATTTCTGCATTTTATGTCTCATGTCCAATACACATCAGAAATGCCACAAGAATTCCAAAATATACATTTTGTTGCAAATTTTATCTAGTTTTTAGAAATAAATTTTGTTTACTGAAAAAGTAATATATTATTCATAAAATTTGAGATTTTTCACATGATGTGCTCGGTGAAAATTCTGCGCGAACCAGACATATGGGAAACATATGTGGGTATTTGTTTACTTTAGGGACTTCTTACGAATTTTGAAAAAAATGTTTTTTTCTCATTATTTGGCCTATTTTGAACACTTTACATTTGACACTTTTGGGGCAAACACTATTTCACCCTGAAAATCACATTTGAAAATCGCAAACATTTTTCTGCAATTGCCATTTTTACTTAGAAAATCAGGTTTTTCCCCCCTTGCCTTTCTTTAAATGTGTTTTTATTATTGTAGTAATAAGCAGATGTATATTTAAACTAACCTAACCTAACCTTGGTTTAACTAAAAATCCGCTATTTTTGGCATATTGCTAACCTAAGCATTGGTTAGGTAGGGTTGGGTTAGGTTAGGTAGGATTGGGTTAGGTTAGGTTAGGTTAGTTTAAATATAGTTAGGTTAGTATACGTAAGGTTAAGTTAGGTTAGGTTAGGTTTGGTTAGATTTAAAATATTAAGGTGATTTTAGGCTAATTGGTTTAAATAATAACTTAATAACTAGCCATACTTTACCTAACCTTAACTAACCTAACCTAACCTAACCTAACGTAACCTAACCTTTGTTTAACTAATAATCCGCTATTTTCGGCATATTGCTAACCTAAGCATTGGTTAGGTACGGTTGGGTTAGGTTAGGTTAAGTTAGGTTAGGTTAGGTTAGGTTAGGTTGGGTTAGATTAGATAAAGTTAGATTGGATTATATTTAGTTCTGTAGGTCCTTAGTAATAGTAAAAACACATTAACAGTAAAAAAACTACGCAAATTTTTAGCACTTTTTGCAATTTTCAAACGCGATTTTCAGGGTGAAATAGGCGTTTGCCCCAAAAGTGCCAATCGTAAAAAGTGTTCAAAATAGGCCAAATAATGAGAAAAAAACATTTTTTTCAAAATTCGTTAGAAGCCCCTAAAGTAAACAAATACCCATATGTGTCTAGAATTATTATAAGTCATGAAATACAGCACTAGTCAGTCCTAATGTGCTATTAAACAATGTAATTCAACAAAAATCTAAACTAAACATAATTTGAAAAGCATACCTGCTAATTGTTGGACTATGTATCCACGGTAACGATAAACTCCAAGAAGATAAATGTTCACAAACAGTCACATAACAATAATAAACCAAAATTATAATTCACTTTCTTATTTGAAATAGCCTACTCAGGCATAAACACAAAAGTAATAAAGTAAAACACTCAAGATTTGATTGTCAATAGCAATATTTTTACAAGGAACTGCAAAAATTTGGCCGAAGGCAACTTGGCCAGAAGAGGGCGATTGTTGTTCCTGACTTTAGTCAGAGTCACTTTCATTTTCTGTGGCTGGACTCTTTTTTTTTGACTTTAGTGGCCTGTAAAAGTGTTCCAACCTCCCAAAGCACTGTGGGTGAACACCAACATTACACCCAGGGCACCTCCAGCTGCTTTTTTTTCCGCAGACGGGACAGGCTCTCCTTTGATTCTATGGAAACTGCACTAGATTGTGTTCCAAGGGATTTACTTGAACAGGTTCTGCAGGTGGTTGTTGCCTGACAAGTGTTTCAACAATATCCACCATGAATCTTTTCCTTGAAAGAGGGTGATCTGTGTTCCTGGAGTATAAAATGTAGGCGTTTAGCATGGCCATGTCCATTAGGTTGAAGAATATCTTTCGCCAATACTTGCGAGTTGGCCTGGTACATGAGTGATGATATATGGATTTATCTTTTTGATCCACACCCCCCATAGATAGATTATACTTGTGAATAACTAGGGGTTTCACAGCTTGTAGCCCACTGCGACTAACTATATTTCTATCCTCCGCATGGCAAGCAGTTGTTATAAGATAAACGGGTTTCCTCTTCTTTTTTTGCTTATAGCCGACGAGCAACACCTTTCCTTTCCTGAAATAAACAGTTTGACCTGCCTCATATTGTGTTCCTACCACTGCTCGGGATAAATCTTTAGACTTCTTGTTTACTGTACCAGTTAGATATGTGTCGTTGCGTAACAAAGCTTCGGCTAGGGGTAGCTTAGTGTAAAAGTTATCTGTAAAGACATGATGATGTTTCCCCAACAATCGAGTCTGATTCATCATCTCAAATATAACTTTTTGAGTGAATGGATCATCTCCATCACTCAAAAAGTCTTTACCACTATAAAGGGCAGTATGGAGCAAATAACCGGTAGCACTGTCACATATTTCAAATTTTTTAATTCCAAAGCGCGCATGTCTCTTGTTAGGCATATATTGTATAAATATTGTCCGATTCTTCATTCCTATCATACTTTCATCGATTGCTAGGTTCTGGGATGGGACAAAATGTCTTTTGAAAGCATCATTCAAGTGATCTAGGAGTTTCCTTATTTTCTGCCAAGGATCATAACCCGGTTCTCCTTTAGCGATAAAAGGCTCTGAAGTGAGATGAAACATTGACGATATAGCCTGGAAACGGTTTCTTGACATAATTTCAGGGAAAAATGGAACTCTCTGGCTGAAAGATTGGTCCCAATAGTCAATAAGATTTTTTTTTCCAATTAGGCCCATATTTATCACCAGCGCTATATACTTCTTCATTTCACTGTATGTTACGTCAACCCAGTGTCGTAACCGTGACTGTCCCCTCAATTCCCCCGACAATCTCCTTCGAGTTACTTCTCTGGATGCATATGCATTGGTTTCAGTTGTGAATAACATCCAGATTGCGTAGGGGAAAAACAAATTGAAGTAAGCAATTGGCTTGCTGTTGCGGGGTGGACAGTCTCTAATCCCAGTATTTCTCACAGTAAACTTAGTTTCTATATCCTCCCCTTCAGGTTCTGGGGGGTAGACCCTTGTCCAAATAGGCCTAGTAATATTTGGAATTGGGGGTATTCCTAGCCTAGCTGCTGCATCCCCTCCAGGACCAGGAGGTGGAGCAGGTGGACCCAAACCTACGGTTGGTACATCTAGGCCTACGTCTAAATCTGTTACTTCTCTTTGACTGGTATCTAATTCACTGCTATGTGGGACATAGTCATCTTCTGATCCAGAGGAGAAGTCTGTAAGACTATGTTCAGGTGTCAAACCATAAATGTCTACATCAAGATCTGATTCATCACCTGTCTCATCACAAGGCTGACTCACTGATGGGCTTGCCCCTAGGCCTACCGGCACCACGACTGATTCTTCTGATTCCACTGGCTCAACTTCAGAATCAATATTATCATTAGTTTCACTAAGATCGTTCATCAATAATTCACGTAAATCACTGGATCGTCCTGCATAATTTTCCATTGTAAAAATATCAAGTTTGTAATCCAACAAAACAAACTAACCCCCACACATAATGTCACTTCAAAGTCCACTTTGTTCGCTAAATATTCACAAATAACAATGGAAACTACTAAAACACTCTTTGAATATAACTAAACGAGTTTATCAATAAGTACAAACAACTTTTTGATCCGAAAAACACGCAAAAACAACGAAATAAATACGAGATAACCGACCGTGTTTACAGACGACATCACTACTGCATAGAAACAACACACACTTTTATCAACATATGTTAGCAGGTTCGCCAATACAATAAAACGTAAAAACTGTCATATTAGCAGGCAGCCAACCTCTTTGGCTTTACATTGATGCATAAAATACTTCGTTCCGATGAGTAGAAGCTTATATATATGAAAAATACTGGATCGGTCATTTTGTGACCGATGGCACTACGGAACGGACCCTGTCGGTCATAAAATGACCGATCGGCAGTTCCAGGGTTAAAAACCCATGTATGAGACAAAATTATAAATAGGCTATTTACAACGGCAGACTCCCCCTAAAAACAAATGTGAAGTAAAAACCGACAAAAGTCTAGGAATAGGCCTACAGTACGATATTTACAAAAAGGGCAAACCAAAGACAAAAATTACATTTTACGCCAAAAGATCTAAGTATCAGAAAACCATTGAAAATAATATAATAGGCCTATTCCTGGTAAAGATCAGATTGCTATAAGCTAGATTTTAAGATGGAACCCCTTTAGCGTTGGTCTAACCTCAATGATGTGTCATACATTGTAAGCTGCTTAAATTGTTTGCTCTTTTCAGAAAAACTGCAAGCTGAAGGCAGAAAGGGAATAAAACAAGAGGATATCCAGCCTGGTAGTAAGTATTTTGATGACCCAGGTTTCTTCCTATTACTACAAGTTAACCCTTACCATACTCGATAACCAAACAGTAAAATTTAATCAGCAACTTGGAGAGAAAGACGTTTCTTGCAAACAGAAATAATGTATTAAATGTTCTTCTCTTGACTTCAATTTAACTAAATATATTTCTGTTATGAAACTTCCTGTCACAGACTTGTGAACTACACATTAATTGTACAACAAACCAAACCAGGACCTAGACGGGAATCAAACTCTAAATTTACAAGTGCTGTCACCTGACCAGAGGGAATGCTATAGGCTGCACGGGTTGTTGACCAGACCTAAGTGTCCACTACAGTACGAAACATTAGTAAACCCAATCACTTTTTAGTTCCAAATTTTAATTCCATATTGCAGCAACCCGTTTTAAGCTTGCTCACATTGATTGTTTACATTGTTTTGTAATGTTATTTGGCACATTTATTGGCCAATGGTGATATAATGGTTTTTTAATTTCAGATATGAAAGTGTGGTCAGATCCGTTTGGCAGGAAGTAAAGAAAGCCTAGCAGAAAATAGAAGACATGACATAGTGTTGATGAATGTAAATATTAACGTAACAAAATTTGATCAGTGTTTTGTGATGACATAGTGATTTTGTAAATATTCTCTCAACCTGTAAATATTAGAATCCAATAAATTGTATTTACTGTCTGATTGTTTTTGATCGGTAAACTTATTTATTGCACCATTGACATACAGTAGTTCAAGTTTTTTTTTCTTCTTTTCAGGATGCTTATTTGTAAATTGAATGTTTTTAAAACTTATCAAGACCAATTGAATGGCTCTGCTGAATAACTCTAGTCTAGTTAACAAAGTATTTTTTAAGGAAGCATATAAAATTTATAACATATAAGTTATAAATTTATATGCTTCCTTAAAAAAATACTTTCTTTAACCCTCCAAGTGTCCATAGTTTAGGCCTTAATGTCCACCTATTTTTGGCGCATTTGCAAGGTTTTATTAAAACGGATCTGAGAAGCTTAAAACAATGTTAATTCTAATGTTCTATACACCATTTTGTTTGGAAAATCATGGGCTTCAATATTATATATAAAACATAAGGAACATTTTTTCAAAAAAAAAATTTTTAGGTAAAAAAAATATAATTTCGAAAATTTTCAAAAAAAAAAATAAGTTCGTGCTCAATGAAATTGTATAAATTATAGGCCTATAAATATTTGAAAATAGCCACTTTGTTCTAAATTTTATGAGGATTACAAATATATAATAATATAAGAAAGTAGATTTGCAAATAAATAAGTTATGGGCAAAAAACTGATTTCAGTACATAGCGTTTAGCTAAGAATGCATAGCCTAACCATAGCTAGGAATCTGGCTGATAATTTACATCAATATCACTACCTACTTCTTCAGGATCATCAACCAGCACTTCAAAACCACTTAAATCTTCTTATAATGCACCACGTATATCACTACTTTTGATTTTTAACACTAAAACAATGATAAACGTAATAAAACACATCAGTCATCGGTCCGAGGGAACCTAGCTGTTTACAAATACACGCACGTCAGCTGTCTGCTACAATATTTTCGGAACTAAAATGAATAGCGCTTAGAGACAGACCTCTGGAGAAAGCTTAGAATATTACGGAAAGAACGATACCTAACTCGATCCAGTTCAATCCGATTCAGTCAGTCATAGAGCCTTCGCCGTAAACGATGTCTGCGTGTCGAAAAATCGACAAGTAACACTACTCAAAGTGTGCTGCTTGTCGAATTTTCGTCAAGTAACACTGGGAGGGTTAAAAAATACATAATATGTTATAAATTGTATATGCTTCCTTAAAAAAATACTTTGTTAACTAGAGTTATTCAGCGGAGCCATATCATGGTTATTTTCAAAGTAGGCTATTTATATTTTCATCCCAATATTACATTTTTGTTTCATGTAGGTACCTGTATTTACAAAGTTTAATATCCATACTGTACCCAAAAGTGGAATTATAAGCGTTGAACGCTAAAAAAATAAGAGAAAACATTCTCATGTTTGTTTCAACGTTTTTCTTCTCTTTTTTTTTTTGCTGTTTTAAGAAAGAAACACAGTTTATTAAAATCAGTAGATGTTAATTATAAAAACTTGTACAGGTCCGTTAAGCTTTCTTTATTGTTTTACAACAAGTTGCTCTAAATGGAATGTACACTGTTGGTAAGTACTGGCTCATGCAATACTTACTTGAAAGTCTCCCACTGGAAGCACTGATGTGCCGTGGTCGTGGATTTATTGTTGGCCTAACTTAATCACTGAAAAATTCTTCCACTGATTAGTAAGGCCTCTTGAGAAGGAAGTCTTTCAATTTTGTTTTCAAGACTTTTCCATCTTCAATACTTCTTAATTCTATAGGAACCTTCTTGCATCCTTTTTGTAGGCTACACATGAATCTTGGTCCATTTTTTTAGCTAGGCTAGTATGACACTTGAGGTATGTCCATCAAGTCTTTTTTTCTTTGCCACCTTAACACGCAAAGCCCTTTCATAGAGTCTTGGAAAAGTTTTGGTCGCAACTGGAGGGTACCTTTTTACACTTAACATTTTACACACGACACTGCATTTGTTGCATTGATTTTTAGCAGTTTCAGTTTTGTCTCCTCTTTAAGGGATTTGTATGATGCATCTGCCCTAAATCGGTGTAGTTTACTTTCTGTTTCAATAGCTTTATTTTCATTTTTATCTCTACTCTTTTATACTCTGTAGGTCGAAAGTAGAGGCGATCGCAAGTTGCACATGTGTTAGACCTTGGGAAATTTTAGCTTAAATTCAGTATTGAATATGTCTCGATATAGATGCAGTTTGACTCCATTATCCTGGATATGTGGTACATAACAGCTCCCACACAAAATTTTCAAGTCAGAGTGCCAACATTTTACTTAGCTTTCTATCCAGGAGTAATGATTTTCCTGGCTAATAAATAAGCGACTATACTTGCTTACCATGCGTTCCATAGCAATCTGTCAATGGTAGTTCTAATTAAATTGGTTGTACACACATTTGCACTGTCGAGGCATGATTTTTAAAGTTTTACACAATGTGTTGTGACAAACGTGGACAGAGGACTCTTTGGTTGAAAGATGTATTTAACTGAGCAGTGTCCTTTGGAAACGTCTTCACTAACCGTGTACCGACAAATATTGACTACCTTGACACATGTCTTAGTAAGAAACAAGGTTTGTCCATTGTAGTTGAGATTGTAAAATTCTTTGAAGTGGCGCACCATGGCTTCCAAAGTAAGCTCCCAGCAGTAATATTGTCATATGGGACTGTGACACCTATGGATAAATAAAGAATTAGACAATAACATTGTGGTTAATAAATGAGTATTACACTACTAGCGTTGCATAATGTAGATGGAGCGCATGAAATATTATGTAGTAGTATAAAAATCACCAAGGACTTATTGTAATATATGGGCTTGTTTCGAAAAAAAATCACTAAAACACGCAGAACTGCATTTAACCTAAAAATCCAGGCTAATAATAAATAGTAGACTAGTTTACTTGGGGATTTTAAAGTAGGCCTAAATAAAATGTGTGGCAACAATTTTGTTTATTATCATTATATAAGAAGCTGGTTTAGTACAGTCTCTTATAGTGCAACTAGTTGTATAGGCTACAAAAACATTACAGAAGGCATGTGCAGCGCAGCTTCTGTAGAAAGAACAATCTACTTACATTTGCAGATGGTACTGTGCCAAGCAGTGGTTTCGATATATAATGGAGCCAAGAGTTCCTTTACTTCCTCCAATCCTTATCCCCCACTTTTCCACCTTGATCTTCTGTTTTTCCCTGTATAATTGATACTGGTTTCCAGGCGAGAGCACAACACATTGATCGGACAACATTTGCAAGCCAGAACGTTATTTTCTGCATGAAAGCAACTTTCCCCACTTCGTCCACCTGTTTAGTGTTACCAACATAGTCCTTTTACAAAACAATATTTACCTTGCGATTTATAATACCAGTACAAACGTATTTGTATAAAAACCTTAGGTTTGAAATAAATGTAGGAACGTTAAAGGTTGACCATTCAATTGACGAGTCATTCAAATGACATTGGATTAATTAATTTAAAACCACTAGCGTCTAGTGGAGCGACTTGGAGTGTTGTTGAGAGTCTTTCCCTTATCCCTCCTACACACCATCCTAATTAAGACAATAAACAGTTCTTTAACTATAAATGCTTAACCATCAAAAATTAAGTATAATAAATAGACAATAAACAGTTTTGTAACTGTAAATGCTCAACCATTAAAAATTAAGTATAATAAATAGACAATAAACAGTTTTTAACTGTAAATGCTCAACCATCAAAAATTAAGTATAATAAATAGACAATAAACAGTTTTTAACTGTAAATGCTCAACCATCAAAAATTAAGTATAATAAATAGACAATAAACAGTTTTTAACTGTAAATGCTCAACCATCAAAAATTAAGTATAATAAATAGACAATAAACAGTTTTTAACTGTAAATGCTCAACCATCAAAAATTAAGTATAATAAATAGAGATGATACGCGCAAAGACAAAACGAATTATTTTCCTGTCGGGTTAAAACTTATACTATATCAAGTTACACAAGGACCACAAAACACAAACATAACCTCAAATTGATTTATTACAAAATGACTCAATAGTGTTTTTATAAAAACAAAGTTAAAAGTACTATAACTAATTCGCTTAACAACAATAAATACAACGAATAGAAATCGTACGATAAGCAACGCCACAAACTAAGTAAAATGACCAGTAATGGCAGTACAAAATTGAGGCTTATTGCAGGCATTTAACTTAGATTACGGTGAGTAATGCACTTACACAAAACACTGTACATGTCATGAATTAGTTCCAGAAATGAAATTTGGTCACAGCCCTTTTTTGATTTACACAGAGAGGAGATGAACGCTAGCAATCTACTTGGTCGGGTTATGTACACGGGCTGACGTTTGAGCTGAATTATTGAGCTCGGGCATAATTTCAGCCTAAAGGCAAAGCAGCACACAACATTCTGTACACATGGACCACCGAAAACACTAGAAAGTTTACATGGCGAAAATGGAGAAATACTCTTAAAGAGGTTAGGAATTGTAAATAACCACTACTGATTGTTGATAGAGAGATGGTAAATTAATTCTCATGAGTTTATAAATTAATTAACCATTCCTCGTAAAAGAAAACAAGTGTTATGAACTGTAAATGAACAGACTTTTTAATGTTTATTTTTTAGATGATACGTTAATTACTGGATTAGATATCAATAATTCTATTTTAGATCCACTTTGATGCAAAAGCATTGGTCAGATAAACTTAGTATGATTAAGTTTATATACTTTATTTTGGTTAAAATACTTAACTTAACCTTGTCTAAATCAGTTATGTTTGTTGGATGGCATTTTCTAGCAACCAACAAGATGTATACAGGTTTGTGTATAAGTTAATTTACGGTATATGAAAAAGTGTAGATATAAAAATATACTATTCGTCTTAAAAGTATTCTATCAATCAGGAATGTGACATTCTACTTATTAAAATGACATAGACTTATTTGAGGATGTTCTGTCTGGAAATATTTAGCCAGGACTGAGGTGGGAAGGTTCACAATAGTGGAATTTCTTTTATTACCAAAAATATTATTTACAATAACTTATATAAAAATAGCTATTTTATAATCTAGGCTTAACAGTATAAACAACCAACATTTTAAGTATTTCAAAGCTTTCAGAAAAACAATTTGTTTCAGGAATCACACAGCTTATGATACATAGATAAAGGGTTAGTATTTGGCTAAAAATAACAATGTTAATTGAAAAACAAGAAAATACAACATAACCTATAAATCCTTAATTAAATAAAGCTATACCCTCATGAAACGGGGAGAAATATTTTTCTTAAAGCTAAAAAAACCACTCTAATGCAAACAATTCTTAATAATTCAAATCAATCATCGCTTACGACATAAACGTTTACTATAAAGCTAATAAAAAAGGAAACTCAAACAGCGTAATTGTTGTGCACTGTTTTGCCTGTACTACGCAACGTATTATAAACTCTCTCCACAGAAGCGGTCGGAAATATGTCACTCACCATTGGTTCAAACCTTATTTTGTACTGATAAATCACACAATAGGAGATCCTAATATTCGTCGTCGTCACACACATCTAAGTAGACGTCGAAGGCCTCGCGGTTGCAGTTACCGTCAGCGTTGAAAACGTACTTGTGAAACGTGCCGTCCAGACATATTGCTGCAAGGTAAAAAAAGGTGAGTGAAATTAATTATAGCAGGATCAAATGAAATCAAATGTGATTCGTTATCAGACATAAATTAATATACAACACCAAAAAAGATTCATATTTTCACAACCAACATCAGAACCCATAAATGTTTGTTTTTTAACTAAATTGTAGATTAAAACGTATTCGTTCAAATTTAAACCAATCAGTGTATTGTTTTATTTTTTTAAGAATAAGTATACAAATATAAAATTTCTCTAAGCAAAATATTTTACAGCATTGTACAACAACAAAAATTTTGTTTAAGTTCTGAGGAGGGTGTTAAAGCTAAAAGTAAGTTACCGATAACTGAGTTCCTAGATCCGAAGGCGCAGATGCAAGCACACTCTGGTGGAACGGTGAAGTTGGCGAGCGCCCACTGTGAGTCCCCGTAGTTGCCAAGCAAACCCGTCTTTGAGAATCTGCAACAGAGAGTGTTTTAAAAACAAAATGAAAAAGAAGCACCTAGAACTGTTGTCATTGCCTTTTTCCTACCATTGCTTAGGAATTATCACATTGCCATACCTTTAAACAGTATGCAAAATAGCTCATTGTCGCTCGAAATCAGAAGATTTCACAGTTGTCGTTTCTACACCAACCACAGCCGTGGATCCAGTACGTTAGTTAATCAAATCATTTATTGTAGTCAGACAATATACATTGTATTACAAACGTCAACATAAATTACTTCTAAATATAAACAATAGTATAATGCAGATAAAATAACAAAACTGGTACTATAACACTGATAACACATATGAAAGTAATAATTACAGAGCAGGTGGACTTAGCTTCAGACTTTTTTTTTATAAATTGGGCTGTTCAAAAAATTCAGCAACAGAGTAACATGCACGTTCTAAAAGGTATTCTTTTAACTTAATTTTGAATTTTGCTTCTGACGTTAAGGATTGTAGATTGGCTGGAAGTTTGTTAAGCAGTTTTGGTCCGAGATTTTGAGGTAATGATGCAGTATCTTCATCTAAAAAGTTAATCTGTGTGTTATTTTAAGCTAATTACGGTGGTAGGAAAATCTTATGTGTATTACAAGCACAAACAGTCATTGCCGCTCTCGAAATGTATGCCCACACTCAGTTAAAGCTTTGTGCGGCCATCTGCAGTTCTCGAGTGGCAAAGACGTACTTTGCACTCTTAATTCACAATCTTTAACATGTAGGATAGGGTGTAGTTATACTTGCCTCATTGTTTAGATGGTTTTGAGAGCTTTACCATCTTAAGGCTAACAAAAGGGTCCGTTTTTAGGCTCTGTATGAACTATAACATATTCTGACAACACCATAAGAAGTGGATTCTTTTGTGGATCCACTGACTAAGAACATGTAGCAAGTTTTAATTCACACTATCTAACATGTTAAGGATTGTCAATTTGATTGTACAATGGACTATATTGACTAAAGTGTATAAAAAAAGTCTAAGTAAAATCTTAAAGAGAATTTTGCAAGACATGATCTTTTTCAGATAATCATTGAGACTGCAATTTGAATTACATGTCTTATGATTGCTCCATACTGTACAATGGACTATAAAGCAGTAGGTAGGTAACTACTACTGTATCCTTTTGTCTTTACTATATCTAGAAAAGAAAAAAAGGGTTGTCTTTTCAAGCCAACACAACCTTTTTAAATGAAATATTATAATTAAAGCTAGATTGATGACTTGTGGTCAGGCCTTGCTACATCGGATTGTGCTAGTGGTGTTTTTGTAAACACTGAGAGCTCTGCACTCAGGAGATCGGGTTCAATAAGCCCCTGAGGTAGAGAAAGGGTCAGTCGGCCAGGGCAGGGTCCCCAGAAGAGTGGTGAGTACTGCTTAGGATTAACCCTTTAGTCGAGAGTTTTTGTAAGGGGTAGATTTATTTAAAGGGCATTAAGAGTTAAATAGGGAGTTGTGTGATTCGTGGTTTTGATAAGGGAAATTCTTTTGGTTCAGATATTTTGATTGATTATAAATAACGTGGGTAGATTCATTTTTGGGGATTTTATACTCGAGAGTTCTAGCTGCCTCCAGGACGTTTCCAATCAGCCTTTCATTAGTGGGTTTGATGTTAATAATTGTTTTATTGTTGTATAAAATAGTTTATTACTTTGAGATAATAAAAAAAGGTTCAGTACTACTGAATTTAGTCTGGTCCTCTCATTTAACAGCTACCCAACTCCTAACTATATGTGTACACGGTTAAAGATCCCGGTTTCACTAAAGCTACGCCCCCATGTGTAAATGCAGGATAACCAGTGAATGGTGAGAGGGTTTCCTGCATGTCACAATAATGCTGACCTAGTATTTTGAGTTGGTTTTTAGTTGCATTTGGTTTACATACATAAATTATTGTATAAAGTCAAAACACTTACGACGATCTCCGGTTTAGACGAGTGTCCTTCAGTGCAAATATGTGGATTGTTCCCTTGTCACTGCAGCAGCACAGGAATTCGGAGTTGGGACTGAAGTTGATGCTGTAAAAAGGAAAAAAATGTGAATGAGAATAAATATCACCAAGTTAACCATCGTTTTAAAACTGCGCAGTTCCACAATTGTTAGAATTGTCTGTATATTAAGGCTGTTTAAGAGCGAGGGAACTTTCACGATGAGCAAAGTAGTTCTCCAAGTCACCGTCACTATTATTTCTAGCACGGTGGGCAAGGCAGCGTGCAGCGTAGTTGCACGGAAGGCAATATAGGTCAGGGTAACAAGATAAAAATTATATATTTCATATTTTTGGAAAAATGTCATCAAGTAAATTTATGTTACTATCAGAAAATGTACATAATTTTAATGAACTAAAATTGTGTCCAAGTTTTGATTTTATTGTTTAAGTAATAATTTTATATCAAAGTCACAAGTTTATTACAATTGTCAAACTTTCAGGATGGAATTTAAATAGTCTTCTTAACCACATTTATGAGAAGTGATTACAAATTTGCACTTCTGTCGTACACTTAAAGCCCTGGAAGTCCTACAATATTTTTTGGAATCATTTAACAACCTATACATTTCAAGTTCTAACACAATACCTAATTCAATGGTTATACAATTTTGAATTTATTTTCTAATTAAACGCCCTTAAAATCAACAAACAGCTCCTGTCATGACGGATTGAGCTAATTTAAATCTAATACAAGCGCTGGGTTTTTTACTTCCTCCCACCACTGGTGCTAGCCAATCCTGGCCTTTATACTGTGTGTAATATTGTCACCGTAGCAGTTAATTAAAGATTGAAGGGGAATCCACGCTCCTACCAAGTATAAACTGCACTCTATGATTATGATTTTTTGTTCTAGCAGTCAACTTCTACTTAAATTAAACCCTAATTAAGGATGCGCAAGAGAAACGGTATGAGCGTAAGAATTTTGTGTTTGTGGTTTAAGGAGTAACCAGGGCATTTGCTGGACGAGATCAGTGGGAGACAGTGATTTAAGGAAATTTTAAGTTTAGGCCACATCCACAGAAATTCAGTCTTTACTCCCCATGTACATTACCAGTAAAGCGTGGCTGGATCGGATCCTCTTCGGAGCTCCACCAGTTTCGTGCGCCGGGTCGTGTCCCACACCCGTATCAATGTACCCTTGCTGCTGGCCGTTGCTACCATAGAGCCTTGGTGATTAAGCGCCAGACACGCCAGCTCACCCTCGTGTGCGTTGATGGTCACTGGCGCACTCGACATCCCAGCCTCTGTAGACGCCAAGTCCTGAAACCGATTTACTTTAGTCATATCGTAAACAATGAAGTGTTTTGTAAATTATGATACGGTCGTTGCCTAAAGACCATGACTGATTCATGATTCGATATTTTATGTTGTTAAGATAGTGAATTACTGATTGAATTTATTGTTTATATGTAGTTCAAGCATTTTACGAAATATCTATGGTGTTTGTCAAACTTATTTCAATAGGTATCTTTTTAATTGCAACAGCTAAATTTATCAAAACTATTCATGATTAAGATTTCCAGTCAAAAAAAAAAATGTTGATGCCTTTTACACAAGAATATGAGTATCATCCACTTCTTTTCAATATACCGGTACCGTATTTTAAATTTAACTGAAGTTTTGAATTGCACGTTATTGACAACTTTAATTAAGGTAGGCTATTTCAAGTTTTGAGAAAAATATACTCATCTCAAACAAAGTATTAATACTACTACCTAACCACATAGCCTAGATAAATACTTGACATAAAAAAAGGTAATTTGGTACTATCCGGAGGCTACTTATTTTAGAGGGTTTTTTTACCGGGGACAAAAAATAACTACATAATTGGAATGAACAAAAATGACTTGTCCTAATTTGACATGATTACGATTTGAGCCTGCCTATGATTTGAATTGGAGATCTGCCTCCCAGAAGGCCGCAATGTCGGCGAGGATTGAGTTGAATGCGTCGCCGCCCCTAGCTGCCACATGTACTCCGCCAAATAGGTATACAGCGGACTGCGGTGGTTATGTTAGGTTGGGTTATCATAAATATGTTTTTTGTAGGACTTTCCTCGTTTCGTTATGAATTAACCATACCAGATGAGTAACGATACCAGAGATACAGGCGGTGACAGGTGATGCATGCGCTCCGGTCAAAAACCTGACCTTGGCCTACTTGGAGGGGATTTGGGGGTAAAAGTATTCTGACTCATCTGGTATCGTTTGATTCATAAACAAACGAGGAAAGTTCTACAAACATACTTATGATAACCCAACCTAACATAACCGCCGCAGTATAAAGGTGGCTTCCGGATAATACCAAAGTACCAAAAAAATCAATAAAACATATAAAAGCTTACAACACTTACTGATTTACAATCGAGAAGTAACAGAGTACTAATGTGAATATGAATAAAATAATTCAGATGTGATTGAAAACTAGAGATTTTCGGTGTGAATTCCTTCCTCCCTTCCAAACAATGGATGGTTGTCCTTTCCATCACAGCACAACTATTTATTTTCATTAGTGGCCATGATACTGGCGTAACAGGTGACTTCCAGCAACAAGTTTAATGATTCAGTTATTTCAAGTCCCACACGTCAACTAACAATTGCTAACTGATTGTCAACAATGTTTTTGTAAGAACTATCAGTCTTTGAAAGATGGCATTCGGCGGATCTGCCTACAATAGTAGTGTTACTTTAATAACAGGCTCACTGCAACATACTAGCCAGGCAACAGTTATCACACTTCAACCCTGTAATTCATCCTGTTGTGTTATATAACTTACATCTCTAATCATGATGGAAATCATTAGGCCTGTTGTGAAGCAGACCATTTATGAATCTACAAAAAATGTTTAACATTTTCCACATTAGGATTTTTATACTCACCAACAGTTGGACGCTACCCAGCTTGTGCCCGGGGAACGCCAACAGTTGTCTCTCCGAGGTGAGGACGGGGCTGACCTCACACAGTCCGAGTTCGTTGTTCCTCGTCTCCAACGTGAACAGTCGCTGGGTTGGTGAGGGGAACGAGAATACGTTTATCTGATTGCAAGTCGCCACTACAAGTCTGCAAAGTGACATTTTGATTAAAAGCAGTTTAAACTACTTTTAAGTGAAGATAGGACTAACACAAGATTCATCTCCAGCATTAAAGACCCTGTGAGCATGCTTAAAATAATTAAATTAATATAATCTCTCAGTTATCAACCCTCATTATTCTAAACTTACTTATCTCTTCTTAGCCGAACAGCTTTGACTTGTGAAGGAAAGACTAGTTCGATGACAAATTTCTTTTCTTTATCGTCGTAGATTAAAACAGTGTTGTTGGCGAACTTGGGGCGATACCCACCAGCCACAATCGCCAACAGATTGGTACGATAGAGCATCTCACAATGTGCTACACTTCCCATCAATTCCATGTCTGAAACAATAAACCAAACTGTAGATTAAAACATGAGTTGCAGATTCATTTTCACTACAGTAGCCGAGAGCCTCGATGATTCAACGCAGTTCTGAAAAAAAAAACATTTTGTAATTGCTGCAGAGTTAAGAGACTGGTGACAAGTAGTGGACTACATACAGACACATTAACATTCTAATACAATAGGCTAATTAGAACATACTGTAATTGATCATACATTTAACCCAAAACTACCTCGATACTTGTTTGACGTAGCCTATTGTGGAAACTTAATGGCCTAATAAAATCTTTGATTGACAGAACAAAGTCAAGGTCAACGTTCCTAGATTGTGAGTATAGGGTTTCAAATTTATTTTTTTAAAGAGTCCCTTAATGTACCGGGTCCAGCTTTCCGGCCTCTGTTAAAGTTAAGTCAAATTATTGAGGGGCTACTATATAGAAAATTCGTCATCCAAGGTTTTACGGGTCAAATGAACAACACTGAGTAATGTTTTGATTGGTGTTGCACCTGCAAAATATTTCAAGTGGGCTATTAAAAGAAATGTTGAACTTTTATTTAAAGACTCGAGCATTGAATAAAAAATACTACTTTCGTAAATACGATAGAGTTCATAGGCTAGGTATAGGTTAAATTATTGTTGATCTCAGAGCAACCAACTGAGTGTGACTTTCCACCACCCGGCTATGATTTTTTACCAACCGAGTGTGACTTAATACCACCCGGCTATGACTTTTGAAGTTGAAGGCAGTTGCCTCACAAACTACTTGTAACTTACCTAAGTAAAATAGGCTGTAATACATACCATAGTGAGCTTTTTCCACCAACGGATCGACATTGTATATCCGTAAGCCACTTTCCATGCAGCAGGTAAAACATCCTGGAAAATTTTAAGATACAGTAACTTACTTTTATTAATTTCATACTTTTTTATTAAACATCATTCCATGTCTTATTTGTTTTGTTAATTTTAAACAAGAATTTTTCGGTTTAGCATGAACCGTATCGGTCTGGTCCATCAAAATTAGCCCAAGTGTTATTAGAATTTGTTCAATTGTGGCTTCACTTCTCGGCAATTGATTAGGCCTAACTCGTAGTTATAAATATTAAAAAACAATTTGTCTTAGGTTTAAGAAAACTCCATAAGTTACATTTATCGTTGGCTACGTAGAAAATGTTGGCTTTCAGACCTAAAAACATATCTAATAAAGAAAAATCAGAAAAAAGTTTTAATCTAGACAGACATAAATCCTAACTTAATCAGTTACCGGTACCCTTGTAATTTTTGTAAGATGTGAAAGGCAACAAACAATACAAATATAGGCCTAGCCTAGTTAAAACTAATAAGAGGCTTAACTATTCAACACATTACAAGCAAGTAATCACAATAAAAGAAAAACCAATACTCAATGTCAACTTGGATTAATGAGTAAGCATTACCTTCAGGCCTAGTTTTATCAATAATATTTAACTTATATTAGGTTTCAGGCACAAACATTGCAATATTCACTGGGGAAACAGCATTATAATGAATTATCTTGACATCAATTATACTACGTAAAAGAAATGTAGTTGAACAAAATTATTAAAATTATTTCCTTTGTTTCAGTGCCCTATCATTTTACCTTGGTCTTGATTAAATCGCAAGTTGATAACTCCTCTTGACTTGGCAGCCATTTCAGGCAAGAAAATAAAAATACACCATGAAATAGAACGAATTCATTGCTAAATATGAAGTAAAATAGACTTGATGACAAAAAGTATCCTATTTAAATTACAAGACAAAGAATTTCGACGCATTACTCAGTTCTTCTTAGCAGTATTTGTAAACAACATGAACACGACCTAGACAGCTGCAGTTCAGCTGATTTCCGTACAGCTGTCCTCGAGTTGGAGTTGGAAGGGACATGCGCAGACGTCTTTTCTGCCCGTGGGGTCCCAGTTTATCGACATCCCAAAAGATCGACACTGTAATAGTCCCACTTTGTCGACAACTCAAAATGTCGACAGTGTCGGTAATATGGGATGTCTGTAAAGTGGGATGTCGGTTATGTGGGATGTCTGTTAAGTGGGACGGTTGTGTAAATTTTCCCACTTTATCGACACGCAAAATGTCGACAAGCAAAACAGATCTACAAAGAGCGGGAGATTCAAATTGAAGGTGAACAGCTCTTGCTGAACAGATCGGTTGAGTATAATGAGAGTCGTTCTTTTTTTAAACTCCGAACGACTTCTATTCACGGCGCTTGCAGTCTCCTTCAAATTTGTCAATGCTATCTCAACTATCTTGTGTATATAATATGTGTTCTGCCGTTTGAAGGCTTAAAATAATTTGATATTTGTCGCACTTGTATTATGATTTATTAACTATTTTTTTTCGTGTAAGAAGGTAGTTAAAACTTGATACCTATGCCAAACTTTGCTAGAGGATGATTATGGTATCCATCCAAGTTTTTTTCAATCATACATTTATTTGAAATATATAATGATATAAGTACATAGTTTTTTTCATTTAACTTACTAGCTTAGTGTTAAAACAGATTAACCCAAACAACAATTTTACGTTGTTCATTGTTACACTTTGAAATATTAAATTAGTTGTAGTACATTTGTATCAGCAACTTACAACGGAAATGAAAAACTGCGTTAATTTGCCTAAACTGCAGATGCTTTGATTCTTTTGTTAACCTTTCCATTGACAATATGGCGATCCATAAAAAGCAATGACAACATAAAATTTTGCAATAATTTCTTTCCAAACTATTTTGTAGAGCTTAAAAAAAAAAATTATTTAGTATATTGAAGCATTATTATGCGCCTAATGGTTACGGAGAAAACTCAAACAGCTTTAAATTTAAAATCCCTATGTTATTCTTATGGAGAATAAGTACTGTTGTAGTTAGCTTGTTTATGAACATCTTTTGATCAAAATTTGAAAATGCATTTATTTCATACTAAACTACCTACATGTAATAATATTTTTAAACTTTAAAACCCTCCCTGTTACAACATACCTAAGTACTTGTTAAACTAATGCAATATTGAAATAGGGAATAATTTTGTGATATTTTAAGGAGATAGTGTAAATCCAATCAAGCAAATGGAAATTCGTTTAGTCTGCAGGTTTGCTGCGGGGGGGGGGGTATTTAAAATAAATCATAGAGTTGTTGCAGTATTTAGAAACACACACCAGAACCACCTGTAAACTGTAATGGCTGCTTAAGAAACTTAAACACCTTATCTAAATGCAGTAGGTATAAAGAAAATAATAGTATGTGCCTACTGTATTACGTTACTAGCCCGGTAAGCGGCAAGGTGTTTTATCGAAGGCGTAGCCGAGTACGGGATTTTCGTAGATTTTTTTTTTAATAAAATAGGCCGCTGAAATTAGCTGTTTATTTCAACAGCTGACTAAGTACACGGTAATAGTATATTACGTTACTAGCCCTGAAAATAAGTGTGTTTATCGGACGAGTGTGGTCGTTCCCGTGCGAGACGAAGTCGAGTACGGGATTACCATACGAGTCCGGTACACACATCATTTTGGACGAGTTACATACGATAGTATACGTGATATTTTAAGGGAGACATTTTAGTGTAAATCCAGTTAGGCAAATGGAAATTCGCTTAGTATGCAGGTTTGCTGCGGCGGGGGTATTTTACTCTAAAGTCATGAGTGATTTATTTAACCAGATTTACATAAGTTATGCATTGGTTACGTCAATTAAAGAAATACATAAAATATAATACAAAATTCCTTCTGCATGCTATACATAAGCTATTTACAATTGGTTAAGATTTTAAATTTTGTTTGGAAATTCACTCATTATGCCCATGTAAAAATCTTTACCTTATTCTTATTACCCTCATAAACCCATTTTCGCGTATTCCAAATTGTGTTGGTTCGCGGACTCATTCGTTGTAGGTTAGGTTTACACGACACGTTTTGTACAAATTTCATCAGGATCGTATTATTTTTGCCATGAGAGATTTTTTCGCTAATGGTAATAGCGTATTACCTTTATGGAACATTCACCAAAATGTTTTTACCTATTACCGTTTTAAATACGACAGTTTTTTAAAGTAGCCATTTCAGTTCAGTTCTTAGAATTGAAAAGTTTCACTTAACAGCTCTTTACTTTCATAACAGCATAGTTTAATTTCACAACAGCATAGTTTTTCTCATAACAACACAGGCAACGGACCAATGAGGTTCAAGGATTGAGAGAAAAGAAGTAAAATTGGAATGCTTCGAACGTCAACTAATCAGCTGATCAGTTGACAATTTTAATTGATGATCCAACTTTTTCCTGTTAATACCAGCGAACACAGAATAAAAAATTGCATCCACATTCCATAAAGACCATAAAATGCACAGCTTTCGACTTTTCAAGTTTGTCGCCATTTTGGAATTAATATTTTTAACTAATTTTATGGTCTTTTTGGAATGTGGATGCAATTTTAAGACTTATTTGACGTAGGTATTTACTCCTCGCATTCTCGCTATAAGCCTACTTGTTTAGGAGCTACATGATGTAAAATGTACACCGGAAGTCTCTTTTCCATAGGCTGTAACTCCTAAACGAGTGGGTTTATCGAAAAAATTTCAAGAATAAAAAAGTTTTAAAATTGCATGTTCTATCCGAAAACATGAAAGGGTGTTCCGTAAGAAATTTCAAAGTTGGCCGCCATTTTCAAATTATAAACTCATATTTTGAACTGCCACAAAAAATAAAGGAATGTCCCCCATTTAAAGTTTTCACTAATTCTTACCGTTTCCGATATCCCAATGGTGGCCTCTTTGAGTTGATCACCATGTTACCCTGTCACCCTGTATATATGTATCCGTTAGCGCGATAACTCGAGCAAAAATGATCCCATTTTGATGAAATTTGGTAAAAACGTGTAAACCTACGTTTATTCGAACGAGTTCGCGAACCAGCATAATCGGACCATGGGAACAGGGGTTTACGGGGCGGGTTTATGGGGTAAAAATGGGGGTTTTCAATTTTTTCCCCTAAAACAAAAAGTTTTCAATTTATTTTTAAACTGTTTTGTAGAGCTTAAAAAAAGAAGGTATTTATAAATTAAAATATGTTCAAAAGTAAGCACAGAATGGATTTAAAATCTATATAATTAATACGCTACATGAAACTTTGTCGCCGCCATTTCTTAACCGATTTTATCCATTGACGTCTCATTGGAAAGACCGTGTCACGTAGATTTGCAAACTGGCCTTACATTTTTGAAAAAGTCTCTTGGGCTCTGCCCAAAGATCCCATGTTATCCTTATGAAGAACAGAATTGTTATATTTTGATCAGCTGTATATTTTAATTGCTGTTATTTAGTTTTCAATTCAATGAAACGCATTGGGTACATTTACTGATTTTGTTGAAATTAAATATTTACTATTTAAATTTAAATTTGTACATATTACAATGTAAAAAATCGAGAAAGCCTGGACAATTTGATTTATTTTACCAAATAAGAAAAATGAACTGACATAGTACTGCATTTCTTGAGAAATCATTGAAAGAACAGATTTGTTAACCATGGAAACATAGCAAAATCATAGAACGCCACCAAGTAGAAGAAACAGAGATAAAAAAGTACAGTACTATCGTCATCAACCTATATAATGAGGAACACCTTCAGCACCAATATGAAGATTTCCACAAACAACGAACAAGAATGTTAGACGAAGTGCTACTATTTTGTAGGAAACATGGACTTAACTTTATGATGATTGGCAAAGGAAACCCCTCTAAGTCTGAATTAAACTGGTACGGCAAGGACATTAATCATTAAATATAGTATAGGCCTATCGTGTTATTTTCAATAATGTTACCAACCCAGTGGGCCACGGTCCGTAATAAAGGCCACTGAAAATAATTTGTCAAGACAGGTACCATTGTAGGCAAGGTTTCTGTGTTTGGATGTTATTAGAAACGGTAAGAGTACAATAAAATTCTTCTGCTGATGAATTTTCTGTTGGAGAATTATAAGCCGAATTATAAATGTCACAATGCGAGTATGCGCATTTTGTAACTATATTATAAGGGCAAGTTACATAGAATTTTTAGGCTGCTGCTCAGTGCACCTTAAGAATATATATTTTAGAGATAAATTAAATGGTTTTTGTTGCTGAGTAGCGCTAGTAAACATGCATAACCCTTTTTGTTAGTCTAATAACATTCAAAGGCTCTCTAAGAGTTGAAGTTCTTATTTGTACCCATATCTATATTATGTTTTCACTAAGCTGAATGAATACATCGAAGTAACCTCTCTGAAAAGTCTGCAATATATTACAGTTTTCCAGGACTTTCTAAATCATGCACATATTTCTACATAAATATTGTAACATGTTTTATCCAGTTGCTGAAAACAACTATTAATTTAACAAAATATGGACACGTCTCAAATGGGCACCGTGCCCTTCTGCACTTGTATTATTTTGTATTGTATTACACAATCGAAGACTTTTTCAATGATTAAAAGCATGTGTGACAATAATCTCATGAACCTATGATGATCTGTCTAGAATAATATGATAAAATATAGGGAAAAGGTGTGAAAAAGGCAGTCACCAACCCGTAAAATAGATATAAGATAGTTCAATAAGAAATAATTGTAAGAGTTATTGTGATAAAAGGATTTTCCACTGATTTCGTAATGGGACTTTATATTGCAACCAATTGCAACAATTGACATGATACAGAAGAAAATCAATTTTAAAATCAGAAAATAACATTGCAAATAATTCTTTTACCTAACCCGCCATGTTAAACTTCCCTATCCCAAGCGTGATGTATACAACTTCCTTACTTCTCGAGTGAATAAAGTATCAAAAACTCACTCGGTGATGTAA